GGTCAAGATCTATCAGCTCTGAAATTTTCAGACGAATCAAACAACCCATTGTTGGGTTGCTGCCACCGAATTGGTAGTTTTAACAAAATTTTGCAGTTTTTTGTTATTATTTTGAATATTATTATAGGTATATAGAATACAATACAATATTTTTATTGTCAATCAAGGACGCCCTAAGAGAGCAGTATAATTACAAATAATTTATTACAATGATTATTATTAATTCTTAATGATGTATAATGACAAAATATAGAATAGAGAAAAAATAAACACAATATATATAAACTGTAAGCTGCAATAATGTTCAGCAAAGTAAGATCTACAAAAAAGTTAATATGACCATAATTGTCAATTGACCCCTTAAGGAGTAATTGCCCTTTAAAGATAATTTTACACAATTTGTTCATCAAGTTTGCTAACATTTAAAAATCTTCTCCTCTGAAACTACTGGGCCAATTACCTTCAAACTTTAACTAAATGTTCCTTAGGGTATCTTGTTTATAAATTGTATCCGAAGTTTGTATCCATCGACAAACATGGCCGCCATGGCTAAAAATAAAACATAAGGGTCAAATGCAGTTTTTGGCTTATATCTCAAAAACTAAATCTTTTAGAGCAAATGTGACATGGGGTAAAATTATTTAATTGGTCAAGATCTATCGGCCCTGAAATTTTCAGACGAATCAAACAACCCATTGTTGGGTTGCTGCCACCGAATTGGTAGTTTTAACAAAATTTTGCAGTTTTTTGTTATTATTTTGAATATTATTATAGGTATATAGAATACAATACAATATTTTTATTGTCAATCAAGGACGCCTCAAGAGAGCAGTATAATTACAAATAATTTATTACAATGATTATTATTAATTCTTAATGATATATAATGACAAAATATAGAATAGAGAAAAAATAAACACAATATATATAAACTGTAAGCAGCAATAATGTTCAGCAAAGTAAGATCTACAAAAAAGTTAATATGACCATAATTGTCAATTGACCCCTTAAGGAGTTATTGCCCTTTAAAGACAATTTTACACAATTTGTTCATCAAGTTTGCTACTTTAAAAATCTTCTCCTCTGAAATACAGGTGAGCGATTCAGGCTCTTGATGAGAGCCTTTTGTTTTTTATTAGTTTATCCTTCCTTTTTTTACATAAATTGTCATCCTTCCTTTTTTTTTTGCCAAGTTGCTCATCCTGCCTTTTTTTACTCAAAACTCCTGTTCTGCCTTTTTTTTCAAATTTCATCCTAGCCCCTCCCCCCCCTCCCATCCCCCCATAAAAATCAAATGGTAGCTCCCTTAGTTATGCTTTTGTTCATTGATAAAACACAGTTTTATTGTGACATTAAACATTATCTCATCAACATAACTTTCCCTGCAAGTTACAGTGTTTATCTTATTTTAGATAATCGGTAGATCTTCTATATAACAAAGCAAAATTGTATGGACAAAATATTTGGTACTCCAACAGAACCACTTTTTAATGAAAAGAGTAATGGTATTTCACCTGATATTTTACAAGAATGGCTAACTACTCTTGCTGTTTTGAATTCAAAGCATGTGGATGTATCGTTAAAACATGAGGTAAGATTTTATCAATGTGGAATACAACTGTTTTGTTTCTCTTCCTCAGTCATATGTACTGAAATCACTTTATTATTTATGAAAGTGTACACATTTGTTTATAAAAAAAAGAGAAGATGGATTTTAATGACTGTCTGATTTGATATGTTAGAAACAGTGGGAAAATGGAATATGAAAATAAAGCACTCATAAATGTGCTTTCTTAGAAATTGTCTTGAAAAAAAGATTCTTTGCTGAATTACATAACACTAGGGAAAAAAAGAGCTTTATAATTTGATCCCCAGGTGTAGAAAAAAATTCAGGTGGTTCAAAATTATAGCTATATTATCAGAATGTATTTTATATGAGATATGCCAACTTTAGAAATTTTTGATAATCTGGGTTAGTATATTTAAATTGAAAGACAACATCTTTTCAACTTCATCTGAACAACTTTGATCTTCAAAATAGAAATTAAAAAAAATTTGCAAAGATTAACTTTCATATGGTTTTAATCAGAATTAATTATGAGCAGTAGCATACCTTTTACAATTGTTGACGTATTTGTTGAACCTATGACTATTTAAAATATTGTAAAAACTTTTGGTGCTCCACATAGTTGCACATTTACAATTATATTAAAAGCTTAGCTACATAGATGATGCTGTTTTTCAGCTATTTTTACATAATATTAAATTTATTTTTGGTTTGTTCTAATATGAATTCATGAAACTAAATCTACACAAAAAAAAAATTTTGAACAATAAAACTTACATAGGGAGCCTCTTTCAGCATATTTGAAATATGAGGATACAAACAGATCCTACCATTATTAGTCCTTTGAAACAATCTTGGTAACAAATCTTCTTAAAATCTAATACGGTACATAAGCAAAATAAGGAGATGTATGATTGCTAATGAGACAACTGTTCACCAAAGTTCAAATGAAGTGGATGTAAGCAATTATAGGCAACCGTACAGCCTTCAACAATGAGAAAAACCCATACCTTATAGTTGGCAATAAAAGGCCCTGAAAAACAATTAAGAAAACTAACAGCCGAATTAATAAAAAAACAATTTACAAAAAACAAATACTGTGGAGTCAATTTTATTCGTTGAATACCAATTTTTTCATGGTTTTCGTGGGTTTAGGTGAACCAACAACAACCACTGAACTAGAACTAGAATTATTCAGGTTAATGTCAATAAAATGTGAGACAATGTTTAATTGCATGTATGGTACAAGATTAGTTTAGACTATCGTATTTCTATCTATTTATTCTGATTACCTTAAGCTTTGTGAATACAATGGTATAGAGAAAAACCAGAAGTAGTTCTCTGCCTCAGTGATGGTGAAACATTAGGTTTTTATAGAAACATTTAAACATACACCTTATTGTGAAATTGAAATTTGATATATTTTGCATTTTAAATAAACCAAATAATCCTAGTACTGTGGATTCATTTATTTTCGTGGGTACCAATTTTCGTGGATTAAGGAAAACTTGCATGTTCGTGGATATTAATTTCGTGGTTTTGTCGAAGTCTGCCTACAAGTCTATATAAAATATGTCATTCTTTGAACATTTAATTTCGTGGTTCACTTTCGACCCACGAAATCCACGAAAATTGGTGTCCAACTAATACTAATGTATCAATATTACTGTTTTCTCTTCAGAATATGTCTACTGCTCTTTCAGGGTCTGCTTAAAGCAGGAAAATCAGCTGAATTTGTTTTCCTAACATGCGAAAGACTCAAGCTGTCAGCTGATGCTAAGTATTGTGCTGTTGAACTGTTTGACAGGTTTGTTTCAGAATGAAAAGAAATGGAACTGTTATTAGCATTAATTACTGTGATTTTTGAACAAAGAATAAAAATGAAATATTAATAATTGTGATATCAGGAAATTCTGCATACAGATATATGTATTGATGTCAGAATGAGAGTTCTTATCATGGCAATACTAACTTAGTCCCATTATGGGGATTAATAAAAACATAGCAACTAATTTCTGAATTTAAAGTTTTTAAAAAAAAAATTTAAAGTTTAAACAATTCAAAGATTGATTGATGGGTGTTTTATGGTCAGGAGCAAACATTAAAATTCAGAATTATAACTTGTTAAAATTAGTTTATTCTTTTATAAACCTAATGTGATGCTATGTGAATACAAAACAATTCAAATATTATTAGCAACAAAGAATATGATTTAGGATAACAACCCTAATGTTCCCTATAAATATGGTGTCTAGAGGGTAAAACTCTAATATCACCCTGCAATCACAAAGACTTCACAAATGTAATGACCAGAATGTTATCCTCAAAACTAGACTTCATACGGAAAAATACTGTTAAATATTATTTATTACTTTTTGTCAATAATCAGCAGAAAAAATATAATAAAACAGTTTTGGAAAACTAATTGGTTCCCTTTGATTGACGATTATGTACGTCCATGAAAAGTGCCAATGCTGCCGTAAGAATATGATGTCATTTGAATATACCCTACTTCTGCTAAAACAACAGGAGCGTTAGATTTCTCTATTGAATTGCCGTGCTGTTCCTTTGCTTTTTGTGTGTTTTTTTGCTGTGCATGTACAGATTTTGTGTCATGGATGGATACCCCAAATCCTTTTGTTTTTCTATTTCATATTTTTCATGTCGGGGCCTTTTATAGCAGACTATATGGTAGGGGTTTTTCTCATTGTTGAAGGCCGTACAGTTGCCTATAATTGCTTACATCCACTTCATTTGAACTTTGGTGGATAGTTGTCTCATTGGCAATCATACCACATTTCCATATTTTTATATAAGTAAGATATTTTATATGCTAGCTCACAAGATACCACTCAGCAAGAAGACATACCATCCAATTTAGACACATTATTTTGTCTTCAAGCTATTCTGTATTTGCTCTTAATCCTATATGATGTGAATGCTCAGCAATGAAGCAGCATATATCCATTTCAAAGTTCTGTTTGATTCAAAAGGGGAATTTAATTTACAAATATTAAACTATGGGTTCTCAAAATTTGGACAAATTTTAGTTAGTTTTCCTAAAATAGAAATTTGTATAACTAAGTCATAGTATTCAATATTTAAATCACAATTTAAGCTAACTCTAAAGAAAGGATTTGCAGACTGTAATGTTCTGTGGATCCATTTATGTCTATGCATGGTTACTAATCTTTGTGGATTGAGGAAAAATTGTATTTTTGTGGAGATTTGTTTTCATGGTTTTGCAAAAGTCTGTATACATGCCTGTAGAAAATTTAAAATTCGTTGGACATTTAAATTTATTGTATCCCAATGAATAACAATGAATATGCAGTAATTGATATAGTAACTACACAACACACTTAGAAGTTGGAACACCCAAAAAAAATAACAAATATTTATCACATTTCTTGTGTTCTTTAATTTGCAGGTTTATGTTAAAGCATGTGAATGATTTATATTCTCATGTTCTCAAAACAAACAGTAAGAAACAGAAAAAAGATTGGAATCTTATTCTAGATAGAATCAAGAATCAAGTAACATTAAGACTGGTATCCTGTTGTCAGATTGCCAGTAAACTCACCTCACATTATAAGGTATTTACTTCATCAAGCATATTTTAATACATATACATAGTCTTGCTGAAACATCCCAGACTATCAAACAAATTCCACATTTATGCTGTAGGTCCGACAAATATTGGCCATTGCCCAGTCCAAATGTCCAGTTAACAAAAATGTCTGATCCCATAATTATGAAGATTCTGGTTTTTTTCCCTACCAATATGGCTGCTTTGGCTAAAAATAGAACACCGGTAAAAATGCATTTATTGGAAAAAACTTGAAATGATGATTGAAAAAATTTAACAGGGCAAAAAATACTCAGAATGTTGAAATTTACCTACTTCCCATTCCAACAAAAATTATCATAGGCCGCCTGATTGAAGTTTTTTCCCTTTTAAAAATGTTTTACTAATTTTTGTGTTTTGGCCTATGATAGATAGGTAGAAACATTCAACAGCAAAAATGATCAACAAAGCAAATCTACAAAAATTTTTATAGGAACAAAACCATTTGATGACTCCCTATAGGAGCTATTGCCCTTAAATGACGATTTTTGTTTAATTTTTTAGTTTTTGCCTATTATCTCAAAAACTTTAAATGATAGGTAGAAATTGCACACAGCAAAAAATATCAGCAATGCCAACATGTCCAAAACCATTGAAATATTATTTTGCACTATTAAATTTTTGAGTTTTCTAGCAAAAATGATCTGTAGTAGATCTTTAAAAAAAGTTTATTTGGCAAAAACCATCAGGGGTTTATTGCCCTTAATTGGTGACTTTTTACTAATTTTTAGTATTCGTCTATCATCTCGAAAACTATAAAAGATATAAAGAAAGTGTAAGAACAAAAATGATCAGCAATACAAGACCCACAGGTACACTTTAAATTTTTGACTGACAGGTGAGCAATTCAAGCTCTTATGAGTTTCTATTTTAATAACATACAGTAACAATTCTTTTTAAATCATTGTTTTTTTTAAACATAATCCTCCCCAACAAACACACACATAGTGAATGTTTGGTGTCTATTAAACATCCTAGTCATATACCTATCTAATTTTGATTAGAATTACAGGAATTTTAATAGTTCAATGATGTCTTTAACTGATGACTTTCATAACATCTAGAGTCAATCTCTTCACTACAGTAAAAATGCATTGTTTAAAACTATTCTATTTACACATTGTTTTACTGTGTGCTTCACTTATCTCAGAAAGAAATTTTATTTAAAAAAAATATTATTTATAATGCAACTTTATATAGTTGAATTTATTTGGTTTAGATTTGGATTAAAATTATTGAACTTACAGTTAGATATAAATTATTTGCAGGTGGCCCGAGAAAACAGTTAATTTCCCAAATTTGTCTATTATAACATAATGGCAATTAAAAAAATTCCACCTGATCTATTCTTATAAGATTTGGTGTGCATAAAGTTTAACTTTTACCCAAAACATATAAAAATTCAGAGAAGTCTATCAACTCATTCTCTCCTGGTAGCCTAAACATTAGGACACTGTTATGGATGAAGCTGGATAGCTCCTGGGAAGAGGCAATTTCACCTTTATGTACCTGAATTAAATCATGGGTATTAAGTGTCCAAATCACTCATTTCTACTGAAAATTTCAAAAATATTTTTTTCAGACAGTATTTTTGAAGTCTTATCTTTCACGTAAATATAAACATATAATGAAAAATTTTGAAAAAAAAAGGCAAAGAAAAAAAAATAAGAAAAATTATACTGAAATTAAAGGGAACTACGTTTAATGGAAGGTAGATAAAATTAAGAATGGAAATGGGGAATGTGTCAAAGAGATGACAACCCGACCAAAGAGCAGAAAACAGCCGAAGGCCACCAATTGGTCTTCATTACAGCGAGAAAATCCCGCACGCTGAGGCTTGCTTCAGCTGGCCCCTAAACAAAAATATGTACTAGTTCAGTGATAATGGACGTGATACTAAACACCGAAATATATAAAAGAAACTAAAATTAAAAATCATACAAGACTAACAAAGGCCAGGGCTTCTGACTTGGGACAGATAACTGTCCCCAGACCAGGTCTTTTGTTTAAATGAAGACATTTTTATTGCTATATCTGACAGTTATGCTTGCATTTTACTCATTCACATTTTATAAATACTTATGCTTTGTCAGGTTGTCACGGCTTCAAAAGCAAGAAGATTTCTAAATGAAGGAGGGCACAGATACACACAAGAGAGTATTTTGCAGTCAGAATTAAGAATATTAAAAACTTTGAACTTTCAAGTAACAACTCCTTCAACGCTTGTATACATGGAAACAATTTTAGAGATACTTGGTAAGAACTATTTTTGGATAATTTTGTTACAAAGTATGTACAGAAATCAGTCAAAGGAGTTGTCTCACTAACTCTCAATTTTTGCATGAAAAATCTGATTTTTTTTAACTCCAATGATGTTTGAAAAATTTTATGAAAACATATCTTGAAATGCCCAATTGTTTAAGTTAAAAAAAAAATCACCAATTGCGTCATTAGTGATATATTTGTGATGTCATAAACGTTGGTGAGTTTGTTAAAAGTTTTGACATTTTGCATAATTTGGCAAATTTTATGACACCCCTCGCCCACAATTATTTTTGCTGAATTATTTTAAATATACCATATTCTTTACTTTTCAATCAAATATTTTAATGGGAGAGGGTTGCTGCCTCATAAAATCATGAAATAAGGTCTAAAAAGATGACAAATTTCGAGAAAAATGGACAAAATGAAATCAATTTCTAGTTCAGGCTGATATATTTATGATATACAATTTTTCTTATTAAACTTTGAAAAATAATATATTTAGCAACACGTACACAGTAGCTTTACTGAAAAAATTGAAGTTAAAGAATACACCTTTTATCTATATAGGCTTTACAGGGCCATTTTTTGGGGTTACATTCTCTGATCACTTGTGTTTAACACATAGTTAAAATGATAAAAATGATGAATATGAATGCTCCCATCTGTTTGCTATTATTCTATATTAAAAGATGGTATCTGTAAAACATTGAGATTTAAAATGTATAAGAAATATTGAAAAGCTTTAAAATGTGAAAGAAGATATTGAATAGCTTTAAAATGTGAGAGAAAATAAAAACAATGCAAAAAAATCAACTACATAAAATGTATTGAATAGTTTTAAAATGTGAAAGAAAATATTAAATAGCTTTAAAATGTCAAAGAAAATATTGAGTGTGTGTAGCTTTAAAAAGTGAAAGGAAATAAACTTTGGGGCGACTTTACTTGCTTCAATATCAAATAAAATTTCTTATGATTATAAGTTCAAATTCAAAAAATGAATATTTTAGTCCAAGAAATTGAACTTAGAAATTTTTCAGATGAAAATTTATTTTTGTTAAAGTATTCACTAAATCATTGAGAGTGATCAAAGTGATTATCTAAAATGAAAAAATAAAAACGACCATGGGAGACACTCATGAGTAGTGAAGGTCATTAAACAAGCCCTAGTAGTAGTGATTATCTGTCAGAGCAAATAAAAAACTGTTAAACAGTTTCATTCAAATAATTTTTGTTTTAAGTTACTCGCCCAAAATCCAAAATTAAGCAAATTAATAAAAGGACGTAGGGTATATGTAAAAATAGAACGCAACCCAACAACAAAAGTAAACAAAAGACATCAGGGGCCAATATACACAAATGTACAGACTTTAACAATAGACAGACTGATCATCACTGATGTCTATACAATATGTCAAATCTAAATGGTCCTGTCTTAGTTATGTCATTTATAATAAAATAAATGAACAAACAAACAAAAATAATAATTTATGAAAATAAAAAATGGGAAATAACTATAGGGCAGCATCTTTTCTGTAGTAATTCTGCCTAAATGTTATATTTAACTTCACTTTAAAACAATATTGTCTTCCAAAATAATATTTTTTTACAGCACTTAAAAAGCATGATCTAGAGATTAACATAGTCTTTAAACACTAGACAGGTGTCTATAAAAGATGTCAAACCCTAAATTGGTCAGTGTTTAAAAAAAAGTTGTAAATGAATTTATCAAAGATCTGCCATCTGGATGGTTTATATTTCAACCGACTGTGTGAGGGCTTACCAGCCAGTCAAGGTTGTTAAACACTACCCAGTTAGTTTGGTAACTTTGGTATTTTTGGAAGTTTTTATTAGAAAAATAATGGTTATTTTTTTTAAAACAAAATGATTATAATAATAGCAAGATGTGATATAATTGCCAATGAAACAACTCTCCATCAGAGACCAAATGACCTAGAATTTAACTATTAAAGGTCACCATACGACCTTCATCGATGAGCAAAATCTGTACCACATAGTAAGCTATAAAAGGAACCAAAATGACAAATTAAAACAAATAAAATGAGAAAACTAACGGCCTGATTACTGTACAAAACAATAAACCAAAAAACAATATGATATACAGCAAAAAGGACAAGAACTGAATTACAGGCTCCTGACTTGGGACAGGCACATATAGAATGTGGCAGGGTTAAATCTGTTTGCTGGAGCCAAACTCTTTCCCTAACCTAGGACAGTGGTGTAACAGTACAACATAAGAACAAACTATAAAAATCAGTTGAAAAGGGCTTAACTTATCAGATTTGATACAAAGCACAAAAAAAACCCACCAAAAACCATCATGGTGCAGTCCGGTCTATCTGCGCACTTGAGATTTTTGGCTTCATTTTGGTAAACTCGTAAAGCCAACAATCAGATAATATTGTGTGAACAAATTCATGACATACTTTATTTCATGAAATCTATTTTATGTATAATTATGTGTAACGCCTGTTCAAAATAAGGGAAATCCCTGTTTTGACAGTTCTTTAAATGTCCGGGGATTTCGTGCATTAATTCTAAAAATAGCTTATTTTGAATAAAGAAAAGATTTTATACTACAAAATATAGTTCAATTTGAACCAAACAGACTGCCAAAGATGAGGAAAAAATTTAAATATGGTTAAACATGGGATTGCAATTCTAAATTTATGCTTGAACTTATCAATTTTAATCTTTTCTGTCCTTTTGGAAGACTAAAACAATTACAAGAACGATCTATTTGTGTTACATTGCGGATATGACGAAATTCGGTAATGCACGATATCACTGGCCGAGTGGACACAGGGAATTCCACTGCAGTTGATAAGTTTGGGAATTCTGCATGACTTAAAAATAAATCTTATTTCGAATGGTCCTTTAACTAAACCCTGAAAAATACATTCATTTAGAAATGGACTTGAAAAAGTATAAATAGACGTATGATTATAGACCACATTAGAACAATTCATATATTTTCTTGTAGAAATTGCATATGCTTTACTTATATACTGTTAATTCTGAAATTTTTGTACTGTTTTTATTATTAAGAAAAACGAATTTTGATAGCATTATTTGTATTCAGCATTTCCTAGAATCGCAATAATGCAATCTAATTTCATTTAATGCAATGATAAATGCACGCAAAAGTTTTCGAATTTACAGTACACTATATAACCACATAGCTTAATATTATTTTAACAGATTATAAAATTGAAATACTGTGCTAAGACAAAATGATAATATTTAAATGTAAAGTCATATTTATTTTTCTTTCAGTATAAAACTTCCAATCACATGTGATATTGTAATTATCACCTTGGGACAATATTATTGTAAGAACCCTATAATATTTAATTTATTTATCAATATTAATTTTATATTTAAGTTAAAATGTTAATTTTGATTCATAGTTACTGTTTTACAGGTTACAATGAACCAGACACAGAAATTAAAGTCTACTATGAAATTTCCCTCAAAGTATTGGAAATTGTCTACTTAAAGTTCTCTGATATTTATAACAGCTTGTTCCAAATAATAGTACAGCACCAGACACCTTCGCAGGATGAAGTGTGAGTTTAGATGTCCAATATATGAGGGTCTGGATGAGCAGGATGAGGGGTCCTTGATTTCTGTATTCTTTAAATTTTTAGGGCATTTTTCTTTATCTTTAAAAAAAATGCTTATTCTGTAAAATTGCCATGAAAATGATTTTACTATTAATCTATCTGTTATTAGATGATTTCTTTTAATATTCTGTACATCGTTCATTTCTGTAATCATTATTATATAACATAATTATTTTTTTTTTTGCAGTTATTATTTATTCTTTTGCAAGCCGTTATTATCTATTCTTTATATTTTTTCCTCATTTTTCCCTAATCATTATTTTTGGGCTACTATTCTGTATTCTGTAAACCCAATCCATACCCTCATATATGTACAAGATTGTGTGAGCTTTAGTCTCAATTTGTCCTCTTTCGTTTATCTTTTCACACTTTCATTGTCTCCCCTTAAGAATATGGAGTTAAACTTGGCAGGAATACTGTAAATTCTAATATGTCATATATGTTACGATGGTCCATCTACTTTATATCACTGAATGTTTCCATTGGGTGGAAATATCTCTTTTCATTTGAAAGCTGTGTTATTTTTTTAAAGTATTGAAATATGAAATTTTATGCTTTTGTGAAGCTATATTTTTCTTTGCATGTTTTGTTGAGCATATTAAAATTTACTTTTGTGTCAATATTTCAAAGAAAAATGAATATGCTTTGGATTCATTTACTTTCTTGGGTACCAATTTTCATGGATTAAAAAAAGAATTGTATTTTTATGTATATTTGATTTTTTCGTGGATTTGCCAAACTGACAAAGTCTGCATAGAAGACTATATCTACTACTACCAGGTGGAGGGGGGTTATTGACCTTGACTACCCAAGAGGGGATTGCATGGTTGGTAATTGGTATCTGACAAATAATAATGACTCCTCAGTATCATATCTTCTATATGGTATTCCTTTAATACTGTAAATTCAGAACAATTATTGTTTGCATTTATTATTGCATTTTTTTAAGAATGAACAAAAATGTAAGATTAATTATTGCGATTTCAGGAAAAATCTTCATACAGATATCAGAATTTGAGTTCTTATTTTTTCGATACTCACCCAGTTGCATTATTTGCATTAATAAAAACCTTGCAATAATTTCTGAATTTACAGTACTTGTTTTATAGTCCCTTAACGACCAGGTCGAAGGCGACTTTAGGTTTGCACTCTGTCTGTCTGTCCATCCTTCAGTTTGGCTAATCAGTTTTTCCAGACTTGTTTTCTTCGTGCATGAAGATATTGATTTGATATTTGGTATATAGTTTTATCATGACCAGTCACAGTTCAAGTTTGAATTTTGTTCCGGTCTGGTGATTTCGTGCAGAGTTATGGTCCTTGGACTTTGAAAATTTACACAAGAAATCAGATTCCACACTTTTTTTCGTCATGCTTGAAGATACGGATTTGATATTTGGTATATAGTTTTACCATGACTAGTTAGAGATCAAGGTTGAATTTTGTTTGGTTCGGATGATTTTTCTGCAGCGTTATGGTCCTCAGACTTAGAAAATTCATGCTAATAATCAGTTTTCCACACTTTTTTTTGTCATGCTTGAAGATATTGATTTGATATTTGTTATACAGTTTACATCATGACAAGTCATAGATCAAGTTAGCATTTTATTCAAGTTCAATGAATTTTTAACCGATAGGGGACTATGTATTGCATGGGCAATACTCTCAGAATGCTTGTTTATTGTTGTTCATTGGTATTTCATATTACTGAAGGCTACTTAAGGCCACCCTTCACAAATTCTTTGTTTGATGTTGACTAGTTAACAATGCCTTGTATGGTTGGGTAGGTAGGTAGGGATTTTTTTTTGTTTTTTTTTTTTAAAACATAAGTTGCATGTTCTATACAAGAAAACAACATGAGAGTAGGAAAAAACCTTTTAAAAAAAAACAATTTGTGTCATTAAATTTTTCGATTGGCTGCTTTTTAGGTGGGAAGGTAGGCAACATCAAACAATTTAAATCTTATTTTTGGCCTAATATAGATATTTCTATTTTAGGAGGTCATTATGTCAAGTCAAGTCAGATAAACTACTGCTGGCAGTTTCTGTTATAGCTGCAGCTGTTTATGTTACTGGGTTCAAGTCTGATAAGGTAGTATAAAAATTATGAATTTTTGGTGCAAAATATTTCAGGATATACGTAGTACAGTATGCCATAAAATGTAACACAAGTGAGATATACAGGGTCTTTATAAGCCTTTAGCTTTATGTTGAAATGGTGTTTAGAACAAGCTGATATTTGGAGTGATTTATAGTACCAATAGAGAATTCTGTGGCAGCAAAATTTGATTTACAATGTAGAACAGAACTGAAGCAACTGCAGAAAGCAGACATCTGGAAAACCCATAAGACCTCATTGACATTGACAAAATTCTAATACACCAACAAAACATACAAGTAAATTGTTGACACAGAGATAGGTCTCCCCTTTAGGTAATTTTGACAGTAATCAATTGCAAATGTTGAAATTAAAACAGCAATACTAAAACATGTAAAATATGCAAAATATTCAAAGTCAATGAACCGTGACTGAAGGTACAGGGCCAAATAATTTTTGTGGAAATGACATGTGACAATGCTTATACAACTGCATACCAAATACCAATTACTTATCATAAGTGGTTCCTGTTAAACTGTCCCAATCACAAACTTAAACATGTAAACTGTGTTAAAGTTTCAAAGTCAATAGACTATGACTGAAAAGACAGGATGGACTAATCTCCATGTAAATGATATGTGTCAATGCTTCTACAACTGCATACCAAAAATCATTGACTTATCATTAGTGGTTCCCCTTAAACTGACCTAATCACCCAACTGAAAGAAATTGTTGATGCCACCGCCACCAGAAACAGCACGTTTTAGTCTTGCTTATTGACCTGTCAAAGCCTAACAAAAAAAGAAACCTAAATTCTGATGGCATTCATAAAAAAATTAATACTTTGTTATTATATAATTATTTAGTTATCATGTTATCAAATTATCCTTTGCTCTTTCTGTGTGGTAATTTTCCATCTCAAGCTACTCAATTGAGTTGGATTTTTCTCAGTTGAGTAGTGAGAATGAGATGATGTCACTGGGGAAAATTGGTGAATTGTAGGGTTGTGTAACAAGAGCCTGACTAAATGGCCTCTTGTTACTGAAACTGTGATGCTCCTGATCACACAACGAACAAATACTCTGAATGACAATGACAACTTTGGGTCTGAAACTCTGGTGCAACCTAACTCTTGAGAATCTGGAACACACAATGAATAATTCAATAATTCAGCATGGAATACTTTTATTTCGGATGGACAGTGTTCAGTGTAAAGTCCTGAGTCCAATCTTCTTCATCAAAATTATAAACAAGTATTTATACAAAATTAAATTGACATGAATAAACAAATAACAATTATCTGAGTAATATTGTTCACTGTCAAAGAATATACTATTTTTAGAACTTGGAGGAATAAATGTGAAATGATAATCTGATTATGACAATTAAGAACATACATTTATGAATTAGGTAAATGGTCATTAATTAGGTAACAGATTAAAACATGTCACTCAATGTCCAAACTGAGGATTTCAAATCAACACATCAAAACTTGTTGATTAAGAAATGTAAATAGAAACCAAAACATAAAATAAATAATTAAACAAAAAGAATTTAATTCCAAATTGTCAAAATTGTGAATTTTCAATAAAAGTCCAAAATAATGAGAGAAGCATCTTTTTGCTTGGTCACAACGACATCAATTTATTTAATTCATTAACGTTATCATGTAAATTGTGATAAACAGATTATCTATGGTCTTTCAAACTCAAGAATTTTTTTTCGGCTATAGCCCTTTGATGAGTTTATAGCAAAGAGTTACCCTCTCTTGTTTTCAGAACCATGAATAATTAATAAATAATATATTGAATGATGGACATCACTAGATCAATCCACAAAAAATTGGTACAGACGGAAAAAAAATGAATTCACAGTACCTCAATATAAACTATAAACCTATATAAACCTATAAATACTTCTTGAAGTGAAGACAGCATTTGCCACTCATGTGCTACTTTCCTATTTTGTAGTCAAGTAAATATTTTATGAACTAAATATATGTTCTCTTATTTCGTTGTAGATAATTGAATGTTTACATCTGATAACCAAGATACCTTTAGAGGATATTGTTGACTTTGCTACAATCATTATACAAATTATCATTCCAAATGAACCTCTACCAGAGATGTAACAACACAAATACAGTGTATAGGCAAGGTATTCCTCTTAAAAAAAACAGAGAGAGCCAGGAAAATCATCTTAATCGACGATTGTGGATTTTGCTACAATTTTCTTGAATTCACTTCGAATTTTTACCAGATTGAACTTTACTCATGAGAACTTAATGAAAAATGTAGGACAGTATATCAAGTCCTTTCATACATAATTTTATCAGAAACAGTGGGTTTATATTTTTTATGTTTTTTGGAAAAAGTGTATTTTCGTGAATACTAGATTTTGTACTTACTGTATAACAAATTCTGTATATAAGTCTATATGAATTTGAATCTGTTGATTACTAAGTATTCATTATTATTCATGGGGTACATATTTTCGTGGATATATAAGTTAACCACAAATTTAAAGGTTCAACGAAGTATAAATTTTCTATAGGCTTGTAAGCCAAATTTGTCAAACCCACTATCAAATAACCAGGAAAATACTATTTTCCTTCAATTCACAAAAATTATTACCCCCAAAAATTAATGAATCCACAGTACTAAAAAATTGTGATTCACCTATATCCACAGGAATTAATTCATATTTATGACTATCCTACCATTTCTGTGTACAAAATTAAAATTTTTAACCTTTTCTTTATTAATTTTTTTTTGGGGGAGGGGATTATTTATAACAGTTAAATATGTCCATATTATATTGAGCAGTACCTTCTTATTTTAAAATTTCACTTCTAAATAACAAGTGAGATTCATGAATTGCCTTGAAAAATTGCCAGGGGAGATCATTGTTATAGCCAGATTGAGCTAAATTAGTTCAAACTGCAGATAAACAGAACAAAATTTCAAACTGCCATTTTGTAGTCATTTCTGGGGAGAATTTAATTGATTTGGTGTAAAAAAAAATTAAATTAATCCATAGTTTGTTTATAAATTTAATTTATATATATAATTTAATTGTTCATATTATGCTATATGCATAATCATATTGATTTAATAGAGGCATCATAGGTTTTTAATATGCAGTGAATTTAAGGTAAAAATTATCCTTAAATGTCCATATTTGAAAATTATCATTATTCACAATATCCTTAGATTTCAGTGGACACATTATAAGCAGAGAAGAGGTAACATAATTTTGACAAAATTATATTGTGGGCCACTCAGAGGAGGTATAATTCCGAAGACCTCAGATGGTCATTATAATATAAGCAATATAAATATAAATATAGATATAAATACAAAAGGGAAACTCATGCATTTGGATTTTTCTAGATCTGTTTAATTTCATATTATAGATTAAAAATATATGTTAATCATCGTTTTTACCTGTATAAGAAATTTTTTTTTGTGATCGAACCAGTCAATCAAATGATTTACCTTTGTTTCATTTTCAATGTTGACATTCTTTTCCTTTAATTAACTGAACACGCACAATGCATGCGTTATCCATCTCTGGCTAAGGGGTTAAATTGAAGTTCACATGAATACAGATTCATTGAGGTCGAATTATTCACTTGCAAGTGAATAATTCATCATCAATGTTTCTTAGCTTAATTTGACAAAATTGAACCATATTGGCTGCTAAAAGCGATTTATTATTTAGCTATTTCACTTTCATTCATGATTGAACAAAAAAAATTCGTACTTTAGAATTTTTGCTCGCCTGGCCCAAAGGGCCAAGTGAGCTTTTCTCATCACTTGGCGTCCGTTGTCCGTAAACTTTTACAAAAATCTTCTCCTCTGAAACTACTGGGCAAAATTTGACCAAACTTGGCCACAATCATCATTGGGGTATCTAGTTAAAATAATGTGTCCGGTGACCCAGCCAACCAACCAAGATGGCCGCCATGGCTAAAAATAGAACATAGGGGTAAAATGTAGATTTTGGCTTATATCTCTGAAACCAAAACATTTAGAGCATTCTGATATAGGGTAAAATTGTTTATCAGGTCAAGATCTATCTGCCCTGGAATTTTCAGATGAATCTGACAACCTGTTGTTGGGTTGCTGCCCCTGAATTGGTAATTTTAAGGAAATTTTGCCGTTTTTGGTAATTATCTTGAATATTATTATAGATAGAGATAAACTAAAAACAGCAATAATGTTCAGCAACTTCAGCAAAGTAAGATCTACAAATAAGTCAACTTGACCAAAATGGTCAGTTGACCCCTTAAGGAGTTATTGCCCTTTATAGTCAATTTTTAACCATTTTTCGTAAATTTTTGTAATCTTTTACAAAAATCTTCTCCTCTGAAACTACAAAGACAAATTTAACCAAACTTGTCCACAATCATCATTAGGGTATTTAGTTTAAAAAATGTGTCTGATGACAACGCCAACCAACCAAGATGGCTGACATGGCTAAAAAATAGTACATAGGGTAAATATGCCCAAAATTGTCAATTGACCCCTTAAGGAGTTATTGCCCTTTATAGTCAATTTTTGTAAATTTTTACAAAATATTTTCCACTGTAACTACTGGGCCAAGTTCATTATTGATAGAGATAATTGTAAGCAGCAAGAATGTTCAGTAAAGTAAGATCTACAAACACATCACCATCACCAAAACACAATTTTGTCATGAATCCATTTGTGTCCTTTGTTTAATATGCACATAGACCAAGGTGAGCGACACAGGCTCTTTAGAGCCTCTAGTTTCTATATCTCGTAGCTAGTGCCCCTTTAAAAGCATGTGGGATGGGGAGGCACTTTTTAAGACCCCTGATCACCCATAAAATCGAAATTTTCATTTTACTAAATTGCAACTATGCATTATTTAATTAATTTGATTGCCTCCCATCTCCCCCACCAGATAAATTTTGGAACAGCCCTAATCTAAACTTAAGCTGATAATGAAAGAGTTTAGATTGCTGGACATCCAAGAATTATCTGTAGTTGAACTATTTTGTTTTAAATATGATTATTTTTAGATATATTGAATGAACCAAAGTTAGTTCACAACATTGTTTATTTTGCATTAGAATTGTAAAAATTGGTTTTATTATATGTTTATACATTCATCTTATTGAAACAATATGTTTTTTTTTTTTGTTATTACTTGAGGATCTAGATGGGGGGTTCTTCATTTCTGTGTTTATTAAATCTTTGGGTCATTTTTCTATATTCCTTATATTTCTGCCAATTAATTCATCTATTCTTTATAGTTAAGCACCCCATTTTTCTCTATTATTTATTTTATTTCCCTTCGTTCTGCACCTTTTGCCAATTATTCTGTACTCTTGTAAGCTCCATCCAGCCATTCTTACATGGTAAAACTGAAGTTTAGAGGTGATTCTTTTTACATAAGGGCTATTCCATTAAAATGTATGTGGGAGGGTAGGAAGGGACTTTCAAAATATCCCTACAACCAAGAACCCTTTTTTAGATAATTTTGCATAATGGTAATAGACGCATACTGAAAAAAAGACCCATGACCCACATTCAGTAATTAATCTTCCCTTCATACCCTCCCACATACATTTTAATGGAATAGCCCTTATTTGTTTTGATCAAATAACGGTCTATTGCTAGTATTAGCTTTCAGAATCTTTTATTTGGTTATTGTATTTAAACAAATGCTTTTAGATATAAATCTCGTCTTGCTGTCAGACAAAAATGTAATGGAAAATCTTCCACCAATAATTTATTTTCTTCAAAGGATATGATTTTCATCTATGGAGATTTAAAAATTGACATCTTTGCTACTGTGGATTCAATATATATTATGGGATACTAATTTTTGTGGGTATAGGTAAACCACGAATCTAAATATTCAACGAAATATACATTTTCTATAGGCTTGTATTCAGACTTTGGCAAATCTACCAAATCAAATATCCACGAAAATGCAATTTTTCCTCAAGCCACGAAAAATTGATCCTCACAAAAATAATTGAATCCACAGTAAAACAAATCAGATGCATATAAATATATAGACAATGTCTATTAGACATTGTAATAAAAAAAAATATGCTATTTTTTATGCATTTTACAAAGGTTGCAAAGAAATTAGAAATTTATATGTTTTCAATTTTGTATTTACTTCCTGGTTTTCTGAAATACCTTAATATGAACTACTGTAAATTAAGAAATTTTTGAGTGCATTTATTATTGTGATTGTTGAAAAATGGACACAAATGTGAGAATGATTATGGCCATTTCAGGAAAAGCTACATACAAAAAATGTGTCAAAAATTTAAAATGCAAGTTTTTATTTTGGTATAACATAATCCCTTTGCTACCGTACTTTTGCAATAATGAAAACTTTGCAATATTTTCTGAATTAACAGTAACTCATTTCAAAGTAGACATATAGCTTAGTATTTAGTTTTTTATTTCTTTTTTCAGAAAAGGGGTATTGCCATGTTTCATGGAATATTTAATAACTGAACCATCCTTCATGCATGGTTTGGATTAAAACTTTATAATGTTGTTATTGTAAATCAGCTTCATTTCAAATACTGTCATAAAAGTTTATATATAAGTATTAGATATTACAGTCGAGGGAGCTTGCATCCTTTTTACTGTGTCAGTCTGTGATTTAAACCATGTGATATTTTAATTATTTGTTATGTTGAAAAATAAAATTTAGAAAAAGATAAAAGAAGTTTTGTATCATTAACAGGCATGAATTAATACTGAAGCATATTTTTTCATTGTTTTATGTTTCATTCAACACTTGCCATTTCAAGAGTAACTGGGGAATAGAAATATGGTCACTCTTTGTCTTCTGACTGGCAGTAAAACCATTGCCAAAGTGAGGGGTCCGTTTGGTTGTGCAGAATGGGGACGTTAAATTTGATGCCTTGTGTAGAGAGTGCCATACACACTGCATGTCCAGAACCCTTGAAACAACTCAAAAGAGTCCATAGGTGGCCTGTTTCAGGACCTACCTATTGTATATTCATGTACATTTAATTTGTTCTCATCCTGAACATAAATGTAATATTTGCCACTGGACGTTAAGCAAACAACAATAAACAAACACTTGCCCCTCAGCAATTCTATGCTGATGTAGTGCATTATTTTTTGTGATTCAACAGGGCCAAATAAGCCTCTAAATGTACCTTGTTCTTTAGGTTTTGAAGAAATGAGTACCTCAACAATAATTTGTCAATCTGTTTATCACTTCATCTTTTAATTATTTGATGAGGATTTTGAACATAACAAATACTAGTTAGAAATAACACTGTCATCTCAAACAAGAAAGCACAAGTTGTCGTGCTAAATCAGCATAGTCCCACTTGTTTTAAAAAGTATTGTAAAACAGGAAGTAGGTGTCTGGCAGATCCAAAAAGTCCACGCACACATATGTTACAACTCATCACTGTTGAGTGTCCGACAAAATATTTAGTCAATTTTTTTTAGGAGTATTGGAGAAATGTGTTAATGAAAATAAGTTCATTCAGTATATTAAAAAATTATAAATAGCAGCAAACAGGAAGAAGGTACCACAGAGATTTAAAAGTGCTTGCACTTAACAACTCAACACTTGTCAAGCTACTGACCAAATGTGAAATCATTCTGTAGAGCAGTTTCTGAGAATAGCGTGACAAAAATATCTGTTGCACCAACGGCTTGACGGATAAGAGTGCCACGGGGGATTGCAATATAGCCCACTCATAGAGCAAGGATAAAATAAAGAGATATACTGTAATTATAACATTTATTTCATCAACAAATAATACACATAAAAAGTGGTAAAAGAAATCTATATAAATATATCATTAACATTTTTAAAGCCATTTTTAACAAACAATGAAAGCAATAAAATCTTTTTTTTATCTTAACTAATGCTGATCAAGTCAATTTTTTTTTTTTTTAAATCATCATCATAAATCAATTCTTAAAAAATAAAAAAAATAAAGCATAATCCCATATTCTATACCAGCATTTGTCACTTTAACCTGCCCTAGACTGTTTCACAATTTGATTGTATCCTAAGCAAGAAGCAGTTAAAACAAATAATTGGTAGGGGGTTACATTATCAGAGTGAAATCTTGAAGTATTTTGTCTTTTGTATAAACAGATGAAATATTAAATTATGGTATAGCTAAGGGTAAAAATATTAAATTTCTTATATAGTGGCTTTGATGTATAAAACAATTTTTTTGAAGACCTCTTGAGTACAACATGCTTTTGTCATAAATATTCAAAAGCCATTCAAAACACAAGTTTTGTTGTTCAACTGTTATTTTTTAAAATAAACCAGGATTTTTTTTTTCAATTGAAAATGATAATTTTGAATTATTTCTCATCTTAAAAATTCGTAAGGGTTCCGCGGAACCCAGTGTCTCGCCTACTTTTTCTGTTAATCGCAGGCTCAACAAAAATGAGGAAGTAAATCAATAAAAATAGTACAAATCCAAAATAGTATAAGAAAGTTATTAAAATTTTAAAAACTTTAACCACAGAGTGAATGTGTTGTTTCCTGGCAGAAAATCTAAGTCCATTTAAAAGTAAAATACGGAAAAAATGGATTTATTTTTTTACAAAATTTCCTTCTAGATACTAGCTTTTGATCATAAACAAGCTTCTGTCCAAGTTTGGTACAAATCCAGGATAGTTTAAGAACGTTATTAAAATTTTAAAAACTTTAACCACAGAGTGAATGTGTTGTTTCCTGGCAGAAAATCTTAAGTCCATTCAAAAGTAAAATAAGGAAAAAATGGATTTATTTTTTTACAAAATTTACTTCTGGATACTATCTTATGATCATAAACAAGCTTCTGTCCAAGTTTGGTACAAACCCAGGATAGTTTAAGAAAGTTATTAAAATTTTAAAAACTTTAACCACAGAGTGAATGTAATATTTCCCGGCAGAAAAACTAAGTCCATTTATAAGTAAAATATGGAAAAAATGGAATTTTATTTTTACAAAATTTACTTCTGGATACTATCTTATGATCATAAACAAGCTTCTGTCCAAGTTTGGTAGAAATCCAGGATAGTTTAAGAAAGTTATTAAAATTTCAAAAACTTTAACCACAGAGTGAATATTTGTGGACGCCGCCGACGACGGAATGTAGGATCGCTATGTCTCGCTTTTTCGACTAAAGTCGAAGGCTCGACAAAAATCTAAAAAAAATAATGGGTAGGGGGCCAGAAAGTTTGGACAATATTTTTTGCCATTTTCTAAAGCCCATAGGAATGTCATCAATTTTTAAGCATGTAGAGAATTTTCGGGCGTATTGCGTTTCCGCTAATTTTTCAAAGTTCCAATACTATGTTTCCAGAAATTGTATTCATTACTTTTCCGGAAATTTACCAGGTAGTAAATTATAAATATTTGAGTATATGTTAGATAAATTATTTATTTTATATCTAAATGTGGGATCTGCTTATTGATTTGTGCACTACCCGAAGACTAACTCTCCATCCCGAGGCAGTTCATATTGACTTTGAATGTGCAATGCATACTGCTTTATCATAAACATGTCATGCTGCTACAATCAGTTGCTGGTAGGTTTAATTTCATTTTGGACAAAGTTGGTGGCCTAAAATTTAGAAAAAAGATCTTAGTGCCGATTACAAGGACAGAAATTTGGATTTTGGAAAATGGCTGACACATTTCTTTGGTTTGGCTTACTGGAGGAAAAGGAGAAGATGGACTTCCTTGTTGAACAAAACACAAAACTTGTAAACGGTGTAAACTTTGTACGACGCGTTGGCCACAAATATTCTGCCAGAACTGATTTATGAACTCATGTCAAGATATATCTGATTTAGTGTTGACTTTTAAACATATGTTTTAATCCATTTTAATGATGAATTTTACTTGCATGTTATATAACCTAGATTCAGATTCAATATTAACTTAATAGATATTTAATTCAGTTTTATTTTTACTTTGCTTTCGTTCAACAAGTATTCCTTAATTATTTTCCCGGAATTGTAACTATTTTCCCGGAAAAGTAAGGTATTTATTAGCGGAAACGTAAGAGTTTTTTTCCCGGAAACGTCATATTTTTTCACGGAAAAGTAATGCCAATTTCCGGAAACGTAAAACGCCGGAATTTTCATCAATTTCTATGGAATACATACACAGTCTTTACATAAAACCAATTTGCTGCAAACATCTAAATAATAAGGAAAGAAGAACAAATTGTATGCTTGATAAAATACTCTTGTTTATAACTCATCCTGAAAGTACAGTATAAAATTAACATTTAAAAGTATACAGCTATACTTCATTATTTACCGTTAATATCACTTTTGTCAAAATACAGATTAATTTTACATTTTGACCTATTCTTTTGCAAATTTCATAATGATATTTCCAATAAATGAAAATCTATATATCATAAAGTCTATCAAGTCTGTTTCATTTTTGTTAACATAACATCAAATGAACTGGAAGAATGAAATTACTGGCTAGCATTGTGAATATGAACATGAGAAAGACGCAAGCATATAATGCAACTTGTATTCTTGCCCTAAAATAAACTTGATTTCAGTGAGTATGTAGTTCATAATCATTACCCAATATAGGTAGAATCTCGAATGTGTATTTTTAACATTTATAAGTTACAAAAACCCACAAAAAATATACACAAACATAATACAATAATAAACATATGTATACACTCTACAGTAAAAAGATCTTTTAATGAAATGTAAACAAATTAGTCATCTTCTTAAAGAATAATTATAATATAAAACTTGAAAGATCTTTACGATACAAAGTACTGCACAAATATACATTACTGCAACTATTTCAGCTAGTACGGTATTATTCAACCACATTGTAATTGAGTGTCATTTATACTAATTTTGAATCATTTAATTATTATCATCATACAAATGTATTACCAAATATTATTGACTACTTGTGAATTGCCATTGGCAGATTCAGGGGCATGGAGGTTGTAGGCCCCTCCCCTTTTTGATAGATAAAATTTTACTTTTACATAAAATTGGGACCTTTTTCAAATATTTTCTTTAAAGAGCAATATACAAATATTACCTCTGATTACAAGTTGATTAAAACAGGACAACTATATATTTTTAGAAATTTTGAATTAAGTACCACTGTAACCAGTGAAGAACATCTTTACTTGTAAACATTCAAAATTCAAAATAAAGTACCTAATGAATTCGCTAATTTGAGAAGACCTTATATGTTAAAAACTTGTTTCTTATACTTTATCATTCTCGTTTTGATAATAAAAAAATTGTTTTAAGTAATTCACTGATACCATTTGGTAAATAAAATTTTGATTAAAAAAAAGAGGAATTTAATGTGTTTGTCTTCATAAAACCTGACTTCATGGAACCTATGGCACTAGAATGGAACCCAATGCATTGTATGATTAATATGACAGCACCCAACAAAACATGAATTCATCAACATCTACATTTATGATTAATTTTTCAACACGTAAAATAAAAGTACTACAATAACATTCATGCAACAAACCACACAGTATGGAAACACTGAAAAAGTCTGATCCCCACATTTACATTTAATATATTGATTCTTAACACACAATTAGCTACAAATGTCAAAACAAGTCTATCATGATCACTGATAACATAATCTAGAACTAGTGTTTTCAGTATATTACCTTTAACCCCAAAACTTGTATTTTGTCATTATTAATTAATTTTGAAGTCTTAAAAAAGTCTTATTTTGGTAAATTATTGTTTTGTAACCTTGACATATAGATACAAATTTTACGGGAATCATTAATAACCCAGTGAAATTGTTTAACCATTGCCCCCAAAACGGAGAATTTTAGTCCAGAAAATTAAGTCTCAAAACTCTATTTTAGATGCACATGCAAGTTATCCCCCAAAAAATTTGTGTGAAGAACTGGAGAAAGCAAATTCATAATTATTCTTTTCAACATTATACCTCTTTCACAATAATATGTTAAAATATAAATGCGTGCTGATGTTTTTGTTCAGATGTTTAAGTTAATATAGATGATACAACTGTCAGCAATCTGTATACAAGTCAATTAAAACTGTACAGAAAGGAATAAAAAGTTTATCACAATAATTAAAATCCCACAATATCAGAAAATGTCTGGTCTTTTCTTTCAATTATTTTTCTCTCTCCAATTCATCCTTTGTCTACATCTACAATGGAAAAAATATTAATCAAAATTAGATTATTTACAATTGAAAAAGTTAGCATAATTCCCAAATTGGTTCGATAAACCTTATAAAATTTAATTATATATAATACAAAACCTTTTTGGGATGAAGCTCTACTCCCCAAAAGGTGCATTATTTCAATTGTTATATGACTGGGTCACTTAGTATATAAGATATGAACTCTGATATAATTTATTTTTTTAAGTAAATGAAGCATTAAATATAGGTCAGATTGACATACTTCTTGTAATAGGCTGCTAAACTTCCCAAGATGCATCCTTGCATCAAGTGTTAGATTGGAGATCACAAAGCTTCTGAGACTTATCTGTTTTCAGATTCATAAAATGGACTTGAACATATTTTTTTGACATATTTAAAACAGTCTTAATTTTTTAAACATAAATCTAGAAAAGTAAAATAAAAGAAGAATGTATCGGAGGACAGGAATGCCCCTGCTCAAGCTATGCAATATTTCAAAAGGGGTATAACTCAAAAACGGTAAATGACTCCCAACCCAAATTGGAACTCTGTGTGTTGTGGTTCTAAGCATTTTGTATGAGTATAAAATTTGCATGAGGCAAACTATAGTTATAGTGCTGAAACAAAAATGGGACGAACAGATGAACGGTCAAGAGTAACACTTAGTGGCCCTGTTGCCTATGGCTGGGGTATGAAAATGTACAGTAATTTATCTATACCAACCTTTAGTTAATTGCTATTTCTGTTGTGTCCATTTTACTTCCTGCTTGTTCTAACATTCTCTCAACAATCTCCCAAAGACAGGATTCCTTCGGGAAGTCATTGTCTACTAGATTTACAAGGTAATGGCTATCATGTATATGATTAATCATCTTCCTGGAGTCAGAATCCTCTGGATATAATCTACCCCATGTTTCTTTCCACAGTCCAAAGGCTTCATCCTGCAAAAATAGTGTAAATTCATCAGAGCTGTTCCAACAAGTGAAACTACCAGCTACTGCTCACTGATGATACCCCCACCCAAGTATTTCGGTAAACAGGAATTTGGTGAGTGATGGATCTGAAAACCCATCACACAGTATAGATGACTTATATAAACCCTGAAACCAAATTTCAGAAATCCTTGTATTGTAGTTCCTGAGAAAAATGTGACGAAAATTTCAACTTGGGTATCATGTGTAAAATGATACAAGTGTTCGGTAAACAGGAAGTTGTTGATTAAATGAATCTGAAAATGCATTACACGGTATAGCTGACTTATATAAACCCTGAAACCAAATTTCAGAAATCCTTGTATTGTAGTTCCTGAGAAAGATGCGACGAAAGGACAGATGGATGGACTGACAGACAGACAGAGGTAAAACAGTATACCCTAACTTTTTTTAAAGCAGAGGTATAATAAAAATGATTGTATTGAAGGGAGGGCATCCAAACATTTTTGTGCTGTCTAATCAAAGTTAGTATATGAAAAATATCAATTTCTTGTGAGTTTTCTTCTCCTTTCTTAAATTTATATCCAAAACACAAAGATATTTGAGGTTTTTCATTTCAATATAAAATTAAACAAGATTGCTATGCTGTAGTGAAATGTTTCCCGTCTCTGTATACCATGTAACCAAGGGTTCCAATATGTGTTTGTGGTGTTGTTGGAGGGCCAGAAGTTGTCTTTTCTGGGAGGGGACTTTTCATTTTTTAATTACAAAAGTCAAGGACCTCCCATTTTTAACACTGAGGCTTCATACAGGACCTTTGACTTTCTAAAGGACTTTCCACTTGAAATTTCAAATGGTTTGAAACTTTTAATTATTTAAAGGTTGTATTTAATTCTGAAATTACAATATTTAATTCCATAGTCTTACCTTCCAAGTCTGAAATGCAATTGGATCTACCACTGTTGGCTGAACAATCTCCTTTCCAGGAAATACACCCCAAGTAACAGCTATTGGACAAGATCGGTCACAATTAGTGTCAACATCCTGGCCCTATAAAAGAATAATTTGTATTTAGAATTATTACATTAATTCAACACGACAGAAAAGCTGGACATATTGACAAACTATTTTAATTGGTAATTTAATAAATAACTGATTTGCAAGTTGAAATTGACATCCCTCAATGAAGGTTTTATAGGCGTATTCCACCATCTAGGATCACATGAGCAAATGATGGGAACAGATTTTTTTATTGAACTTTGCAAATTATGATGCAGAAATGCAATTAATTTGTGGGGCATCTCCTTCAAATCAACAAATTTTTAAAATATATCTTTAAAGGTAGATAAATGAGATTTATCAAAATTAGTTTTGTAAAACAATGTACCATAAATTCTCCAATTCCCTATTATAATTAGCAAGAGTATTTGAATGTGACCTAGTTATTTCTTATGAAAAGTAAGAAATGCTACATTAAGCCCCAGCTAAACAACTGTTATTCCCCATCTTGACAAACAGAAAACTTACATTGTGGTTTATAATGTGGTAGTTGACATAAGGATATTCCTCTAGGATCTTCTTCAGCTCTGCTACATTCTCAGCTGATGTGAAGAATTCTAAATAGGCCTGCAATTAAAGTGTTTGTATAAAAATAATATGATATGAAAAATACAGTCAACTCAACTAATATATATAGGAATAGGCATTAATTATAAAAACAACTAGAAAAATATTCCAGTAATACAATGCAAAAAAAATTTCATTCTCTCAATATCAATAGTATATATACTTTCAAATGAAATGAGTACATAATCAGTCCAAAATAATTTTCAATGGCCACTATAAAAATAGTGTTTGTTTCATTAAATAAGCACTGATGTATCCTTTGGACAGACCAAAAATGTTTATGCAACTCTGGTATCTTGGTTCATATTCTTTTCTTAAGTCCAGATAGTTGTAAAACATGTTAACATAACTGAACAAGAGGCACACCTGTGCCTGTACTGCTCACCTGGTGAAAATAAAACTGTTAACACAGAGATATATGTCTCGCCTTTTTGTAATTTTGATAATCCAAATGTTGAAATTAAAATAGCAATACTTTAACACGTAAGTTATGCAAATATTCAAACCAATGAACCATGACTGAAGGTACATGGCTAAACAATCTCCATGGAAATGAGATGTGAAAATGCTAATACAACTGCATACAAAATATCATTGACCTACCACTAGTGGTTCACCATAAACTAGACCTAATCACAAACTAATACATTGTTGCCGCCGCCGCCGGTAACAGCATACCTATACCTTGCTTTTCGACTCCGTCAAGGTGAGACAAAAATCATCAGTTTGCCAATTAGGACTTGTATATGTATTCTACAGTTACTCTTTATGAGATACTTATATAAAATCGAAATACCTTAATATCATTGATTTTACAATCTCAAACAAATGTGAAATTAAGGAAAATTTTGAAAAAAAATTTATATACAAATTCAATCCCGATATTTATTTACGAGTTCTCTCGTTTTCAGTCACTTGTTTATTAGGAATATATCAATATTCTGAATTCTTACACAATTATGATCCAAGACTTAAGTACCACAGCAGCTTACCCTGGTAAAATTTTTAGTGGAATTTGGGAGAAATGATAGGTTAAACATGACAAAACTATTTTGTGTTCGTTATGGCAGTTTGGAATTTCTCAACTGGAGCAAGTACAAAATTTGGTCTAGTAGTGTTCTCTTTCAGACACATAAAATATCATTGACACATTGACACTTGCTAAATGGACAAGTTGTAAAGAGGTAATGTGGAACCTGTTTATTACAGGTTAAACAAATCACTACTATATGCATACCTTCTGAAAAATATATCCTCCTGGACTACCCCATCCAACATTCAGGTCTGTAGAGGGCGCTGCATTAATATTAGGTTGAGAGTTTATAGTCATCACACCCCTTTTATTTACAGCTGCTAGCTTTTCTTGGATTAAAGATGTTTCTGCATTAAGCTCTTCATCCACCCATGGTATGTTTTTCACCTATTATGAAGGAAATATACACAATAAAACAGAATCAACTATGAAACAGTTTTAAATAACAAGACCAATACTGTGCCTGGACTTGTGTTGCACAGTGCCAGTATGAAGAACAACATGTAAATATACAGCTTCCAGTTCAATAAAAAATGGAAAATTCTCAAGTAGGAATTAATTTTGTAAATTGTAAATTGTCAAATGTATGAACATGAAAGTTCCTGTGGTAGTTAAAAAAAAATTCAGAATAAAGAATGGTTTTATCTTTATCGTGTTTATAACATTGAAGCTTGATATAACAAATCAATAGCAATATTTGTTTGATGTTTTTTTTTTTTTTTTAACAAAATAAATTACATTTTGGTGATCTACAATACACAGTTGATACAAACTGTCCTGAGTTCCACATGGCACATAAGTATCCTCTAGCATTCAATGACAAAAATGGCTCAGTTTCACACATGGGAAACCTGAGAAAATATAATTCAAATCGGTCCAAAATCGGGAGTTGCACATATGTGTATGATAACTGTTTTAAGTTTGAATTATGTTGTAGGATATATGTTGGAGAGCTCTTTGCATTAATAAGGTAACCTCTATGTGTTTTGAACGGACAAACAGTAGAATTGTTACTAGACCAGGTCTTACCTATAGTATTGCAGGTAAATATACTAAACTTATTGTCACACAACAGTTCATGAAATCAAAGTAAATATACCATTATATCATCCTGCAAGGGATATTATTCTTTGTTCATGATGTGAAGCCAATTCTATCTTACATTCTTCTATGTGAATTACCCCCCTTTCTGAACCTCATACAAAATGTATATGCAAGGAAAGGTGTTAATTGGCAACACATAAATGTTGCTACAAGCAAGGGATAATATAAATTCTATGTTCAATTTGCAAAAAACAATTCAATTTTATATTGTACCATAAACATTTACTGTTTTGACTCTCTTATATGCAAAGGTAGGTATATATTTGTAACAGATATATATTTTGCCTAGTGCGAGGGATAAAATTTTTCTTAGTTCAATGTGTTAATACATTTCCTTTTTACTTTCCCTATGTCAATGTATGTACATATTTTAAAATTCCAACCCTCCTTATTTCCCTTCTTAAAAAGAAAATGATATCTTTTTAGCTTACTAAAAGAATTATAGGATTCATAGAGAGTTATGAAATTTCAGTATGATAATAAAAGAGCCTATGGCTAAATATCTCTTCCTATGAGAAATAAATAACAGACTACAACCATAAAAGAATGTTAATTTATCTACCACTGTGCATTTAAAGGCTACACTTACCTTTACTCCTTCTGCGTTGGGCTCTCCTGTAATATACGAGTAAAATACTCGCCACACATCCTTTTCACTTTTAAGCTCTGATCCCCACATTTTCAGCATGTCCTCTTTTGGCGATTTATGTTTCAAATAAAACAAATAATAGTCAGATATATCCCCAAATGATGCTGCCGAGGAATTGCCCCACCGTCCGTTTGGAAATTCATCCCAGTTAGATGTCCTATGAACATAACTATTTGGTCGCATTCGCCAAAATATTGGTCGAACATCTTCCTTGGTTCTGTTATAATGGGCAGAGAGTTTAAATGGCAGAGGTTTTGCAGGTTCTTCAAGCCACATACCAAGTCTTTTGAGAATTTCTATTGTAGCTACTTCTCGATTTAGAGTATAGAAATGAAGGCCATGAATTTTATCACTGTTCAATAATTCTTTACAAATTGTTGTGGCCTGATCTATCCCATAATTTCTTATTGCTTCATCATTGTCTTTAATTGGATTGATGGCGTCTATAATCTCTTGTGGTACCTCTAATCGAGAGAGTTTCACAATGTGTCGCAATGACTGATATGCCTAAAAATAAAAATAAAAATTTAATGTTTTATAAAACTTATACACATGTTAACGATTTCTTGGCAATTCAGGAGCACCACAACACTCAAGATTGGCAGACCTGTCTTAACTTTTGGTGGTTATGAATGACAGGACCACCAGTTTTTCGAGGAACACTATAAACTACAACAACCTATGCCAATAACCCTGCATCAGACCTTAAGTGGAAAGCTTTTAAATTCATAAAGAAGGCTCCATTGAAATATGAATGACTATTGTGGATAGACAAATGATTTTGAAACATCCACAGACAAAAAATTACACACATGTTCGGGATGAAAACACATTTATAGGATATGAATAGGAACCCTGCTATGTACTTGACTTACAAGCTAAAATTGAGAATGGAAATGGGGAATGTGTCAAAGAGACAACAACCCGACAATAGAGCAGACAACAGCCGAAGGCCACCAATGGGTCTTCAATGCAGTGAGAAACTCCCGCACCCGAGGGCGTCCTTCAGCTGGCCCCTAAACAAATATGTATACTAGTTCAGTTATAATGGACGTCATACTAAACTCCAAATTATACACAGAAAACTAAAATTAAAAAATGATACAAGACTAACAAAGGCCAGATTTTTAATACGTTACTTCATGAAGAAACAGACAGCAAGAATCATTCACCCCACCTGGAAACATTTTACCAACTCCAAGGTGATCAGTCTATAGTCTTACTAAAATACATTGCATGCTAAGTTGGGTAGCAGAAAAATTTTAAACGAAATGTCTATTATTTGAACAAGTCATAGATTGAACTCGTTACCTACCACACTCAAGGCAAAATGTTAAGGCAACCCTGTATACTGCGGATTCATTAATTTTTATCAGTTTCAATTTTGGTGGATTGAAGAAAAATTATATTTTCTTGGATACTTGATTTTGTAGTTTTAACAAATTCGTCATACAAGGCCTTTTAGGAAAATTGTTTGCTGTCAAACACTTAAATTTGTTAAACTTTACCCCCAAAAATACCTGCAAATTAGTAAGCCACAAATAATATTGAATCCACAGTACTTAAATAGACACAGGCTGACTTTGATTAAGTAAAGCAACAACATAAAATAATACTTGAATACATGGCAAGATATAATTGACTTCTAAGCCCATCAACCATTGAGATGCAGAACAGCCATTTAGACAATTATATTGTGTTTACTTCCCATTTTAGGCACTCTATTTATTTTCCTAATTTTCATATCATTTCCTTGATACCAAACTGATCTAATTATAAATTCATAGTTACTTAAGTATTTGTTGTTGTCCATGGAGGCCATTCTGATGTGAATTATAAAAAAAATTACTCATGAATAAAAGTAATCTTACAATCACGACAGTTCATTTTCCACAATTAAAAGTAATTGAAAATAAAATTGAGGGGGAAATCTTGTAAATCAATGGATGAGAATCCTTTCAATTGAAAGTCAAAATTTAATATCTATTGGTGTTGGGAGTTCAAATTCATTGTTCAGTTTGCAGTGTTATGTAAAATACATTGTTCATTACAGCTTATCTGATTGATTGATGTTTGCTCATCGTCCAGTGGCAAATATTTCATGCATGTTCAGGATGATACAGTTGACCTGTAAATCTTTCATTCTACTAAATTATTATGTTATACCCAATCTAGCAAAAAAAAAATTTTTTCCGTACTGACAAAATTTTGTGACTCCAAACAATTATAAAATATCTCAGAACTAAAAAAAAAATACACTGTGGTAAAGATATATAGTGAAATAACATCCTTTTTGTCACAACTCCTCTAAATGTTCATCACACATTATTTTTTTTTTAATTTCAACTACTGTGAAAGTACTTTTATTCGTGGGGTACCAATTTTTGTGGATGGCTTTATCCACGGATTTTAAGTGTCCAACGAAATATAACAACTAGTGTCCAAATCAAGACATGGAAAGATCCCCATGTAGGTTTGACTACATGGATACGGGCACATTATCTAGAAAAATACTTCGAATATCAGCAAACGCACTATGAACTATATAAATAACTGCAGACAAGATTTAACCCATTTAATCTTTTAAAATCCTAAACTGTACGACTTTTAACCTTTTAATTCTCATAAAAAAATAATTTTTGGTCAATGAAAGTCAGATGTCCGTTGATGATATGCTATGATGAAGTGTTTATTTTATATCCTCATAATTCTCATACGGAAAAAAATAATTTCATATTGGGCTTGCTTTTCAAAAGAATTAATTCTACAATTCAAAGTACATTTATAGCATTTGTTTATGTTACCGTTTTCTTTAAGTGACATGTTAATGGACCAATTAACACCTTGGTGATCTTTAATCTGTTGATAATTCGATCTCAGATTAATTAGTGATTACATGTGTGCAACAATTCAAATGTTTACTTTGCAATTTTCTTCAATCGAGACAATTTGTAAGCAAAGATGAACCAGCTTATTAACACCTTGGTGATCTTTAATCTGTTGATAATTCAATCTCGGATTAATTAGTGATTACATGTGTGCAACAATTCAAATGTTTACTTCGCAATTTCCTTCAATCGAGACAATTTGTAAGCAAAGATGAACCTGCTTCTGAAAGCAATTATATATATTATAATAAAGCATCTTCTTTTCTGATGGTTTCAAATTCTTCTTCCACGAATTTAAGAACCCACGACCATGTAACTTTTGCTCAAAACACAAAAATTGATACTCACGAATAAAAGTACTTTCACAGTACTATGTATTGTCATATTTCTCTTGAAACAGATAACTGAACTATTTTATGAATACAACCTACCTGTATTGGCAAAATGCCAGGAATGATAGGACAACTTATCCCAATATTTCTACAATCTTCAACGTATTTCAGAAAAGTGTCTGATTTGAAAAACAACTGAGTAATAATGAAATCAGCACCGGCATCAACTTTTTCCTTTAAAAATTTCAAATCGACCTCATAGCTGGAACATTCTGGGTGCCCTGTTGGATATCCTGAAATAAAAATACAAAAGATATTTCCATAATCTCTTTAATATGAAAATTCATTACATAGGTATTGCATGTTTTTTTCGTAGTTTTATTTTTGTGGTCCTAATCAATAATCTCCATGAAATAGAGGTAAAATCAACATTTTTATGTTATCAATCTTTACCTAAGAAATTTAAAAGCCTAAACTGTAAAAGCCTAAACTGGTGTATAAATTACATGTTTCTGCTTAATACCAAAACACACAATTAAATGTAACAGCCCCTGGTAGGGATTCATAACTTGGCCAGTTTCGGTTTTTCATGGACCTTCATCAGAAGCAAAATGATGGATTATAATTTGACATAAAAAAATTTCACTCATATACATAAATAATATGGCTTCATGTGGACAAACTGTACACCATACACTGTAATTAATATGGCTTTATGTGGACAAACACAGTTTAAGGGGAGACAACTGTCAACAAAATAATAAACATTCAATGTCCTGCTGTTACGAGTTTTATTTATGATGACACCATAATACTCAATCTAATCAAAGGTTCAAAAATTTTAAAAGCAAAGCATTAAAATAAAGAGCTGCGCCATGAGCGCATGATACACCCGTCCCATTTCAAAGAATAAAGTTCCATAACTTCTAAATGTCATATCAGAAATTTATAAAAAACTAAAGGGAGGTTATTTCAATAGATATAAACCAGTTACCAAAGTTTCATAAAATGCTCAAAGTGCTTTTGAGTTTTTGTACGAAAACTGGAAAATCCCCCCTTTTTATGAATAAAATCCCATTACTCGGAAACGTGAAATCTGAAATTTATAAAAATCAATAGGGAGCTTACGTCAATAGATATAAACAATCCACCAAAGTTTCATGCAAATTAGTTAAAGCGTTTCTGAGTTATTGTCTGAAAACTGGAATATCCCCCTTTTTTAATGAATAAACCCCAGACCTCGGAAACGTAGAATCTAAAATTTATAAAAATGGAAAGGGAGCTCACGTCAATAGAAATAAACAATACACCCAAGTTTCATGCAAATTGGTGAAAGCGTTTTTGATTTATTGTCCGACATGTTGACGACGGACAGACAAAGGTATACCATAATAAGTTCTGTAAACGAGCGTATAAAAATGACCTATTGAATGTGATTTATAAAAGATATGTTATGTGGTTTTCAAATAAAACAGAACACAAACATTTTTTTATTTTTTCAGAATCATTGCCTATATGCATAAAATATATATTTAGTACTGATTATAGAGAATGGCAGAATGCTGAATATTGACCAGATGTATTCTTACTGTTCTTGCACTGGTGAAAAGGAACAGATTCAAACATATTTTTGACAACAATGCAGCTTACACTAAATAGTATGATAGTAGATAAATAGTATTACTTTTAGATTAATTTCAAATCTTACATTTCACAAAGTTAAAGGTACGAGTTGAAATTTCTTTTCGTGAATTGTACATAAACTAATTTCAAGAAAAAGATAGAAATGCACATATTCATAGATAACTCATCCCCATTTATTCAAATCTGACATTCAACTTCATCAATTTTAAAAACAAACTTATCTCCCTTCTACTATGTTATAAAAGTTATTTTCTTAAAGATTACTAATTTTTCTACAATACCTGCTATGCAAATGACAAAGTAATCTCCATGCTCTTTTCGTACAAGTTTCACCAAGTCAGTGGCATAATTCAATCGTCCTTTCTGAAATGTCCATGATTCACCACCATCTGGTGGATCTGAAAAAGTTGAGTTATTTCCCTTTAACAAAACTTCAATAATCTTGGAAAAAAGTAATTATTCATCCAAAAAGGTATTTGATATTTAGATTTTTTTTGGAACTCATCATATGATCAGGCATGGGGTAATGCAAATTTGTAATTGTAATGCAGGGTAATGCATTACAATTTTCTAAGTAATTGCATGTAATGTGTAATGCAGCAATTTTTGCATTACATGTAATTGTAATTTAATGCATTACTTAAACAAAAAGTTATGTAATTTCATGCATTACATAGCATTACATGGCATTTCTTTTTCACATACTCTTTAACAGATTGTTGGATATCTAACTCAAACTGTATTTAAGATTTCTTGATTAACTATTGAAGAACATAATCATTTGAATATTGATTTTCTATTTATTTTTCACACTTTACATAAATCACTAGCTGGAATAACACAATACTGTATATCAGATTAAGTATTTTTGTATTTCATTTTAATTCATACATTTTCCAGCATAAAAAAGATTATAATTGAAAATCATCGCTGTAAAAGTGTTCCATTATTGTTAAAAGATCAATGAATACCTTGTCCTGATTAAATAAAAGATAATTGAACATTGACATAAAACACTAATTAGTTTGTTTTACAATTAATCTTTTCACCACTTTGACACTTGGTTTGCACCGATTAAGCTCTAATGTTTTTATTATATATATTTTTTTAACTTAATTAGTAAAGAAATTCTCAGTAAATATTTTGATTGAAATAAAAAAAAATGTATATTTATAATAGTTAAGTTAACATTACGTTAAAACAAGCATTAAACTTCATCTCTGAAATTTCTTTTTAGAGAAAACAGAGATGAATACCTTAAAACATTAAAACCAAAGATAGAAGAGCAATCAACTTTGATAGGTTTTGTGAAACAGTAGGGTACCCAGAAATATTATTTGAAAGTGTTCAGGCCTGATAGAATGTGCATGAAGGATGAAACCTTTTGAAATCCTTATAATGATTGATTATTGGTTGCTTAACGTCCAGTGGCAAATATTTCATGCATATTCAGGACGAGAACAAATTAACAATAAATACAATAGGTAGGTTCTGTAATGTAGGCCATCCGGGAAGAAGGTCGTGGAAATTTAGACTGCCACTGGAAAATGAGGGTAAATTGGATAGGGACAGCAATTTCGCCTTGCAACAGGTCACCTACGGACCCCTCAAAGAGTTGTTGCAAGGGTTCTTAACGTGCAGAGAGCGTGGCATTCTCTCTACACGAGGCATCGGATTTAACGTCCCCATTCTGACCGGACGTGGCTGCGTACTTGTACATCCCGCACAGCCAAACGGACGCCCCACTTTAGCGAGGGTTTTACCGCTGGTCGGAGGAAGACCAATGGTGACCATACTTCTATTCCCCAGTCACCCTTGGGGGAAATCCTTATAATGTAAAAATGTTATATTTGTATTGAATAGAGCTTTCACATGTTTACTTTAATTTAATACATATGCTAGAATCTTTTGTGACTTCATGTTGTTTTTCAAAAAGTTTGATTTTTCTTTTCACTTGATAATTTTTTTTACAAAATGTAATGTGTAATTCAATGCATTACTTTGCAAAAGTAATTGTAATATAATGCATTACTTTGATAAATGCATGTAATTGTAATTGTAATTTAATGCATGTTTTTTCAAAGTAATTGTAATATAATGCATTACATTGCAATGTAATTCGCTCCATGCCTGCATATGATGCTTCATATTTTTCTCAGTGAATAATAAATGAAGGTCAAGTAAAAGTGTTATGTTTTGATATTTGTGTATTTGTACAGATTAATAATCCTAAGGTAGAAAGGAGTAGGCCCAGTAAGACCCCTTTTTGGCCCTTAAATATAGCAGTTTTACAAAATTGTTAAAATGTAAATTTTTAGCTATTTACTGGAAAGAAAAATACTTCTGTTACATAAATATGGACTGTTTTTGACAATACAATGCACATGTATCGCGTACTAGCATCATTAAGTCATGCTAAATTACTGAAATCTTCGAAATTTTAGCATTTGGTTAATTTTTAGACGGTTTCCGTCTGCAATGGAAGTGGCCGCATATGTGTTCATTCTTAATATTTAAATGTAAGTTGTATTTGATGATAATACATAACATATTTAAAGGTTGAGAATGAACTCGGATGCTGCCACTTTCATTTTTGACGAAAACCATCTGAAAAGTGGCATATTATGGCATATTTGATAGATTTTTCATATTTAAGCTTGAATTTGAGCGTCTTTAAATCAGTTAAAATCTTTCACATAAACTAACTGAATTGACTGAAGTAGACACTTAAGTGTTTAAAAAGTGTCCAAAATCTTTCATCAGATGAACCTGAATTTTGAGGCCAAAATCGGCCTTTACCGGACCTACTCCTTTAGGATGCTTTGCTGAATCAGTATATATTTCAATATCAAATCATAAGTAGATCTTTTAGGGTCAACGATCAAACAAATAGTTTGTTGGGAGACAGAAAAGACATTTACTACTATATCAAACAATACCTCCTCTAAGAACCAATAAATTTCTTATTCCTAGATCCTTAGCTTTCTGCAGGTTCTCTTTAATATCTTCTATATCTTGATTCCCACATGTAATATGAAGCATGGTATCTACACCACAGTAATTTAACATTGTACCAGCCATACATGTAGAACTTGTTGGCTTTTCTGTGTTTCCTGGGTCACCTGCTGGATGCCAAGTAATGTCACAAAAAAGTGGTCCTCCACGATTCATTCTTTCAATCCTGTACGAAGATAAATTTAATGATAAACACATCAACAACAGATTATTAGCAGCAGTTTTAGTACAAATACAAGAAACCTTTTTGGGCAAATAAAAAGCTTTGTAGAATTTTCTGCTTACAGAGTTTTATTTTTCAAATGAAAACCTTCAAATATGGATACATGTATCTAGCTGCTGACTTACAGTGGATGGTTCAGTGTTCCAGGAAAAAAGTGCATTACAAGAATGCAGTTGTTGTGCTATTCAGGGCATCTTTAGTTAATTTTGTTGTTGAGTGATAAACTATTGTTTCAAGTTCACAGCAATATCCTACAAACAGAGATACAATGTGCTTATAATTCATATCAAACACATATTTATTTTTCTTACCTTCCAATCAAATTAATAGCGCCATTTTCTGTTCTTGGTGGGAAAAATTCCAGGGAATACCATGGATCTCTCGACTCGATGCGTTTGAGCACCCTTTCATTCAAAGGTACATAGTCTGTCAAAGTAGGTGAATGTGCACGACATTGCTGCTTAGAACAGGAGCCATTTTCATGATTCCCGTTCTGAAGAAGTTCTGGCATGTTTTAAACTTTTTTTTCCTAAAAATAAAAATATATGAAATAATAGCTTGTACTTAATCTCTAAAGAAGAAAATTTTCCAATTTATATTAATCTAATTAAGATTCAAGAAGGAAAGCCAAAATATAGCATTCTAAACAACCATATGTAAATCTACCTAGATACATTTCTGTGGGGTATACCACAATAAGACACATGGCGACCAGAAATTGACCTGGGCAATCTTTTTATTCATTTGTGGTAGCCCAGGTGGCGACTTGAAAAAAAAGTACTCAACTGACGGAAATCCGCCGTTTATCGTGACTCCTAGTGCCTGCTACTTCACTGACAAAAATATAAATTCAAAAACAAAACAAATTCTTTTTAAAATGTATACAGGCAAGTGTTTCGAGTCGTATTGTCGTAAAGTCACAGTCATGATTAACAAGGATGTAAAATCAGTGTTTACCTTTGACTAAATATAATTCAGGTCACTGATTGGTCGTCTGTTTAAAGTCAGACAGTATCGTATGTTTGCAAGGATAACAAGAGAGATGTGCCGATGGTCATTAACAATATGAAGCGATCAAATACCCAGTTCGGTTTTGGCTTCAAGAAAGCGAAGAAAGTCAGAGAAGATGACAATAGCATGTTATGAAATACTATCAGTCAAATAAAAGAAAGTATAATATATAATGTTTTTAAGAATCGTGAAAACAGTACCTTCCGTAGTTTCTTTTTTAAAGCCCACATGATGTCCAGAGAATAAGGTCAAAAAGGAAAGTAGAATATTGTCGACCACACATACATAACATTAGTTCAAAATGATTTTAGTTTCCTACTTACTGAACAGTTTACAAAAAAAAGAAAATCAGAGTAGATATCAGTTATATGACAATGCTTTTGAAATAGCATCATATACAACGCTGCTTTTATAAGTCTTTTGAGAAAAAAGGGGGGTCATAAGACATTTGTTTACAAATGTACGTAGTTACCCAAAATAAATCGACCAAGATATTTAATAAATAAATGTGGATAGTGTCCACATGTGGACACAGATGATGCCCCCGCTTGCATATCATATAGTTATAAAGGGACATAACTGAAGAACAGTAAAAGTGACGCTACCCAAATTTGAACTCCATTTATACGGATAAACAGGTACAAATTTTAACAAAATTTCCTTCTAGATACTAGCTTTTGATCATAAACAAGCTTCTGTTCAAAATTTGGTACAAATCCAGGATAGTTTAAGAAAGTTTTTAAAATTTTAAAAACTTTAACCACAGAGTGAATGTATTGTTTCCTGGCAGAAAAACTAAGTCCATTTATAAGTAAAATACGGAAAAAAAATGAAATTTTTTTTTTAACAAATTTACTTCTGGATACTATCTTATGATCATAAACAAGCTTCTGTCCAAGTTAGGTACAAATCCAGGATAGTTTAAGAAAGTTATTAAAATTTTAAAAACTTTAACCAAAGAGTGAATGTATTGTTTCCTGGCAGAAAAACTAAGTCCATTTATAAGTAATATACGGAAAAACAGGAATTTTATTTTTACAAAATTTACTTCTGGATACTTTCTTATGATCATAAACAAGCTTCTGTCCAAGTTTGGTAGAAATCCAGGATAGTTTAAGAAAGTTATTAAAATTTCAAAAACTTTAACCACAGAGTGAATATTTGTGGACGCCGCCGACGGAATGTAGGATCGCTATGTCTCGCTTTTTCGACTAAAGTCGAAGGCTCGACAAAAATTGTATCGAGAGGAATATTTTTATTAAAATTTTTTCCTCATCTCATTTTTGCTGAGCCTGCGATTAACAGTAAAAGTAGGCAAGACACTGGGTTCCGCGGAACCCTTACGAATTTTTATCATATTGAGTGTGACCTGACTTTTGTATACACCTATGACACCTCTGACATACCAAACTTGATTAACCTAAGTTTTGTGATTCGAAAGTTATGAACTGGACATGAAGAGGGAGGGACGGACGGACAGACAACAAAAACTGTTGGAACACAATGCTCAAAGAAAATGCTTCCAGCAGGGCACACATAGATATGACCACAGAGGTCAATCTCTGAACAGTTGGGCCAAGTATGGACACCACACTCAAGCTTAATACAGCTCTGAATTTGGATTGTGATTAAATATTTGACACAGCATAGGTTTCTGACAAAGAATGAATGTGGTTTTAGGAACTTAAAAATTGGAAATTGGACCTTTACCTTAATTACGGTCCAATATCCAATATCTAAATACACAAGAATTCAATTTTTAATGAAATTAAACAAAGTTAAATTTTAGACCCTTTGGACCTCAATGTGGACCAATTTCATAATGGGGCCCAAAATCTAAATACACGGTTAGATTCAGCATATCTAAGAACCCCATATATTCAATTTTTGTTGGAATCACACAAAGTTTAATTTTGGACCCTCATTTGGAAAAACTTGAAAACTGGGCCAAAAATCAAATATCTTAATACGTATTAAGATTCAGCATATCAAAGAACCCCAAGAATATTGTATTCAATTCTTTTTTAAATCAAACTAAGTTTACTTTGGACCCTTTGGACCTTAATATGGACCAAATTGAAAACTGGGCCCAAAATCAAAATTCAAATTACAGTTAGATTCAACACATTAAGAACTCAAAGAATTCAATTTTTGTTGAAATCAAAGAATTTAATTTTGGACCCTTTGGACCTCAATATGCATATTAAAGAACCCCAAGAATTTAAGACTTAAGTATTAGAAAATTAATGTTTACGGTATATTGTGGTACAGTTTCATAGCGATCCATAGACTTTTACTCAAGTTATTGTCCGGAAACCAGAAAATCTTAGTTATGTGGCCCCTAACTCCTTATTGGTTTGGGCCATAACCCCCAAAATCAATCCCAACCCAGTGGCGGATCCAGAACTTTTTGTAAGGGGGGCCCGCTCCAGTCACGCTTCAGTGATTCCCTATATAATCAACCAAATTTTTCCCACAAAAAGGGGGGCCCCCCCCCCCCCCCCCCGGATCCGCCTATGCAATCTTCCTTATGAGATATTGACCCGTGTGGTAGAATTTCATAAAGATCCATACACTTATACACAAATTATTGTCCTGAAACAAGAAAAATGCATTTGTGGCCCCAAATTCGTAAACAGTTAGGACAATAACCCCCAAAAACAATTCAAACCTTCCTTACATGTATGTGGTAAGGAACCTTTTGGTACAATTTCATAGAGATCCATAAACTGATACTCAAGTAATTGTCTGGAAACCAAATGTCTTCTGACGACAAAGGCGGCAACATCAAACTATTATACAGCCGCAAAAGTTTTGAGGACAAATGAAAATGAGATATGAAATAGAACATCTACAAACATAATTGATGGGGTTCCCGACTTGGGATATCGTTGAGATATGATAAAAGGACGAGTTTTAACTACTTCTTTTAGATCACAAACTTCACCCTCTTTTAATTCGTCTTTTCAGAATCTAAAGGACTATGGTTTATGAAAATTTTACCCAGAATGCATTAGATTCTGAAATGGCGAATTATATGGATTTATAGATTAAAACGTAAACCATAAAAAATTGACATGTCAGCAAGTGGTTCGCTTGCATATTTCTTTGTGAATAATAAATGATTTATACTGATGCAAGCAAAGTATTTCACTCAGGATGTGTTCTCTATATTTAATTTTTTTTATTAAATTCCATGCAATATGTGGGTAACCAATAATTTTTAAAACAGGGAATCAATTTGAAATAGAAATTAATACATGTACATCATGTACAATTGTATCTACATATCGATTTTAATTGAAATTCTACCAAAATCAGATGTTTCTCAATTTTAGCTAAAACTAAACTACTTTTTTGACAATAATTGTGATTACCACAACTTTGACTCTGGGAATCGATTTGTAATGCATAAACCTATATATATTAAGGGGAAAAGGGGGGGGGGGGGGGGGGGGGAACTGACAATTTTAAGACTTTCAAGGTTGCAAATCCAATTTTCTGCACTGATCAGATGAAAATCAAAAAGCAAGGAGAAATAATTTTCTCATTAATTAAATTGTATTATAGTGTTAATGCCAATTGTTTAATTTTCTCAAACTGAATATACAATTTCAAAAAAAATCCTTGGTAACCAAAAAAAAAACATTATCAAAATATTTTCTACAAATAAGCATAAATATAAACATTTTTTTTTTACATTATATAATTCATTTCAATAACATCCTGTTTCTCGAATTCCCTGTATTGATTTGATGCCGGCGACTTGAATCCAACGTATATTTATGTTTAACATTTAATTTTTATATAGTTTAGAAACTAAATAAAACATGCATTTTACAGAAGACCGCAAGTGTTATTAGTTACACGGTGACGAATTATAAACAACGCCGCCTCTAATTGCAAAATTACAATTTTCCGTTTGAAAACAAACCAAAACGGATACTGTGGCTGATGGAAAAACAACAATAAAATAATATTTAACTGATGCTATTGTTAAATTAAAACTCAAGTTAATTTTTGGAAACTGTTACAGGTCTTTCTGTTGTTCGATTTATAAAATTACCTCGACAATAAACCCTTCTGTCATCAAATTTTGTCAATTATTCCTTCATGCATCCACCACGAACGTTTAGACTAGAAGAGAATGCAAATTGTAGTCTTAGGTATTTATAATGATTGTCAACCAATCAGATTTAAGGTGCGATCATGCATGACAATATTGTGTTTTAAATGACTCCATTTTTAAATAGCTTCGGATTTCCTCGGATTTTATCGGCTTGCTTTATAACATTTTCTGATAAAAATCGAATCTGATTTCAATTTCGAAAATACTTTACCTTTGAAGACTCATGCATAATTTTTTCCATGGACATAAAACTAACAAACAAAAACGCTTCTTTGAAAGTAGTACTAATATCGTCCAGAGAACAACCGAACTTACAATTTTTAAGCGGGAAATTTTCAAAGTAGATGTCCACACATCTGAATGATTATCATCGTGTGGCGTGATATAGTTTCAAGTGGAATACAAATAGGGATCGGCATTCCTCAATATTCAAACTTATTTTTCCTCATTTAATGTGTATTTGCTGTATCCATACGATTTTTCCAATAACAGTATTTATACAGAGACACGGGGGCGGATCCAGTCATTTATAAAAGGGGGTGTTCCTAACCCAGGATAAAAGGGGGGGGGTTCCAACTATATATCCCCATTCAAATGCATTGATCGTCAAAAAAAAGGGGGGGGCTCCAACCCCCGGAACCCCCCCCCGGATCCGCCACTGCAGACATATATATGTGTATATATGTCTGATATATATGACCCCCTCCATTCCTATAAGATCTGGGACTAATATACTAACAGTGTATAATAGTCTCAGATAAGATCCAAAAGAGCAAGAAAACATTAGATAATTGAATAAGTTTAAACGTAAGGTAATATCTACTAAAAAAAGAAAAAAAAACTTGCATAATTATAAAAAAAGGGGGGTCCATTCCCTCAAGAGCTTTTGCTGGAACACGGTTCTCAGTCACGTTCTAACCCTTTCACTTTTACAAAGCTATATATGTTGTTGTTCTTGTAACATCTAGCAGTTGAATGTAAATGCGTTGCTGTCACAAGATTTCTGCCCTTTTCATCGAGTAAGTGACAAGCTGCACATCAGTGTTACGATTGATCATTTCAAGTATCAGTGCACTGTCGAACCAAAATAACTGTATGATTTAATAAAATCAAGATTCTCATCATAATATTTGAAAAATTTCTTACAGGTTTTACCATTTGCATGAGTTAAAATTATAATGTTGAGACTTTATTAAAAATTACTTTTAGTTTCCAAGAGGAACAAACGTCACCTATTAAAAACATTTATAGATTTTGTAGACCTTCTCTGAGTTTGATAAAAGAACAACAGTTGCGTTATTTAGGGGTGGACTGAAAAGGGGGGGCTTCTGAAAGTGATAAGCATCAAAAAGCAAAAAAACAAAAACAAAAAATGTACTATAGTAGTTAGTGAGTGTCCTCTATCATTTTATGATTTATCATTTTTTGGCCAAAAAGTGTGTGTGGTGGGGGACTAAAACATAGTTTTGTCCCCGGCTTCTTCTCTTAGTGAACAAAATCATGTGCAAATAAGAGGGAATTATTGTCGGTCACCAATTACAATAAGATCTCAGGATAAGCATCCTGGTGGCTCATAACTAGGTCATTAATGTATAGATTAAATAATATAGGATAAAATTGATTGCTTTACGCCACGTGATGGGAATTTTATTTTACGTCTAGTGCCTTCAGACATGGAGTGAATTATTTTGAACAAAATTCACATAGAAATTTTTGTTCCAATAGAATGAACAATGAATTCTATTTCTACAAACTGTTTCAAATGCCTATCTAAGACCAATGAAAGCAAAACAAGGGCCTATGAGCCGTGGGAGGGGACAAAGGGATAAATCCTCCTCCCTTTTTAGTGGGGGGGAAATCTAAACTATGTTTTTTGCACTCCAGCTCTTTGGTTAAATTATTGAAAAATAAAAAATGAAAATGAAAAAAGACATTGATTTACTTCTATATATAATAAGAAGATGTGGTATGAGTGCCAATGAGACAACTATTCATCCAAGTCACAATGTGTAAAAAGTAAACAATTATAAGTCAAAGTACGGTCTTCAACACGGAGCCTTGACTCACACCGAACATCAAGCTATATAAAGGGCCCTAAAATAGACTAGTGTAAAACAATTCAAACAGGAAAACCAACGGTCTAATCAATATAAAAAACGAGTCGGAGACTATTATACTGCATATGTGGGTTTTTTTCTTGTCACTTTCAGAAGTTAAACTCCTACTTTTGAATTGTACAGCTAATTTTGCAACGTTTATTTGTCAAAATTACATGCTCTTTAATGCCACATGATTATATTTTCTCTAACTTTCTCATTCTTTATTTATATCTAGAAGTACGTATTTAGTTAGTGGATCCAAATGTAACTTATCTCTCCTGATAATAGTCGTGGTATCCGTAAATGCAGCATACGAAGTTTCAAATATACCAGTCTGATATGGTATATAGGGAAAGATTTGGTTTTTAAATGTTATGATTTGGGATGAAGAAAATATTTTTTTTTTTCAAAATTAGGATCCTTCCCTTGGAAAATGCATGGAAGACACTTTATTGAAATCAGGGGCGATAGGCAAGTACAATATAGGTGGTCTCTTGGCTCATATGCGTAACTTGTCTATGTATCGCGGAAGTTCTCCGCGCTCGTATCATTTCCGTTTATTTAAATGCTGTATATGCTGGTCTTCTTGTACACTCTAACAGTTGGAAGTAAATACGTATTTGTCACAGTTTTGTTAATTTTGTGAATTATCTGTCGACAATACTTTATTGATTTTGAATGCTTGGCTGAAAGCTAAGATATCTATGGATCAATCAATGTTTATAAAATCCACATTTTTGGAAAAAGATATTGTTCGGTTTTTTAATGTGAAGATCCGTTATTTCTGTCATGTTGCTCACCCAATTTTGTCAATATAACGGAACTATAAACAACTGTCATACAAGTGGGAGGTTTAGCTAGCTATAAAACCAGGTTTAACCCACATTTTCTTCGGGAAATGCCTGTACCAAGTCAGGAATATGACAGTTGTTTTTCACTTTTTCCGTTGATTAATAGCGTTTGATTTTGTCAGTTTTTATGAACTTCCCCTTTTTGAATTTGCCTTGGAGTTCGATATTTTTGTATACTCTTTTAAAATATAAGAACAGTATCAAGGAAGTAAATCTGCCTAGTAAGTTGATTTGAATGTTGGAAAAATACAGTTTTTAAGAAATTCGCTAAGGTTTTTGTTGTTTGGGTTTTGTTTTTGTTTTTGTTAAGTTTGTTTTTGTTTGGGGGGTGATGGTTGATCAATTTAACATACCAATATCTCAGAAATATGGCTAGAGTCAACATGATTGTGCTTGCGTCAGCAGCTTGGAAGTTATAGCTTAAGTAGAAACAGTGGTTGTCGTTTGTATGCACTTGCTGTATATCATATTTGTTTTTCGTTTATTGTTTTGTACATAAATCAGGCCGATATATAGTTTTCTGTTTTGAATGGTTTAACATTTGTCATTTCGGGGCCTTTTATAGCTTTTTCTGTGGTATGGGTTTTCCTCACTGTTGCCGGAAGGCCTTAATGTGACCTATATAGTTGCTAACTTGTACGGCATTTGGTTTCTGGTGGAGAGTTGTCTCATTGGCAATCCACATCTTCTTTATAAATGCCACTCAAGAAAACGTAAAATCATATACAACACTCCCATTTAATTGAAATCGGCAGAAATGATGTGTGGCTAGTTATTATTAAAATCGTCAGACTGTCGGAGAAAAAACCATTCTAATTGAATAAGTCAATGTATCACGCGGCATGTTGTCCTGCTGCACATGTTGAAATATGTAAGAAGAACTTTCCAGAGTTAAGATATATAATTTTTTCGAGTCATGCATTATTGGAGTGCATTAAAGTAAGAATACATTTAAACTGTGCGCAATGATACTTAATTTTGACTGCGATAAAAGGTCAGAACTATTAAGGAACTGTTCCGATTATTTCATTATTTTCATTAAATACTGAATACAATTTCCGAGTTTTTTTAGGTAGGATTTATGTATTTATTTTAAACGGACAGTCACGTTACTGTTCTCGTCCGTGTATTGAAAAAAAATGGATTTAAAAACATAAATCTTCGTGCTAATTGTACTAGTGGTAGTTTCCAAGAGCATAGGTACTTTGGGACAGGACAGAATTAATTGTTTTAACCCTCCCCTTTTTTCCCAAATCCGTTATTGATATTTTTTCTTTTAATTTCAACTATTTTCGCGTGTTGCTGTGTCATATTAACATGAATAAACTAGAAATAGCATGTATTTACTATCAATTCCTAGTATAACTATCCGCAGCGGTCAGTGATATTATTATCAGTCAGTGACCGCTGCGGATAGTAAACTATATTATTGCTATAACACAGAAAAACGCGAAAATAGTTGAAATTAAAAGAAGACGAAAAAAGGGGGAAGGCTAAAAAAAATTCCTGTCCCCAAGTTCCTATGATTAATCTATATATTTTGTTGTATTAGAGACATATATTGTTTTACTAGTATGTCTCTGCTTGTATATAAAAATTAAATCACACGAGGCATGGTGACATTTAGTGTCCTACACATTATGACTAATGTGTTGATGTAGTGCTTAACTATAAGGAAAAAGGTTCATTAAAGAAATGACATTGACAAAAAATAATGGAGCGAATGATAACCGAGTGCTAAACTGAGAAAACATTGAAGATTAATACTTATTTGGCACATTTTTGTCCAAATATTAGTTTCAATTTAAATTAGAGTTATCGCTCTTTCATCGTTTCGAAAATATAAAATTGAAAAGGGTGGTTATTTGCGAACAAAACAATGTGTAAATCAAACTCGGCTAGTCCCAGAGTATTCAACGTATTCAAAACATGTTCAAAACATCGTACATTATGACAACACGTAAAACAAAAATGGAAAAAGCATAAAAAATGTGAACTAGTTGTACGAAAATAAATTTTACCGCACTCTTATTACGGTATTTGAAAATAATTTAATGTTATTCTCAACATTGCATGGGTCATTTTCAGAAAAAGGGATTATTTGTACTCTAAAATTAAGAAAACTGCGACTGTTCATGGACCCCCTATTTTGCCATAAAAAAGGGGAGGGGATCGACCGGATCGTAACACTTGGCTAACGAAGATGAGAGGGCAATAACTAGCAACTAGACTATAAGTCTATAGAAGGTGTTTTTTTTGTCTGTAACTTTCAAAAATTTGCCTCCACCCCCCGAACCGCACACATGACACATTTTCAGTCTACTCCCATGCCATTTGTCTTTGGTGTTTTCTATTTTTCTTCAACAGTTTTTTGTGTTTGCCCCTTTGATAACTCCTACTATTTGTTGGTGTCTTTTATTATAATATAAGGCAGTAAATTAGAACTCCAAAGCAACACGTACGTGTTTACATTATCAAACTAAGTTAGGGCCAAGATTGATATATAAAATTTATAAGAAAACCGGTTTGAAATGAATCAGACATGAGTTCAAAGTATTTGTTGATGACTCATTTCTGAGTAATTTCTGTATACATGAATATAGAACCTCTACTTTCAATTTGCTATACGATTATTTGAAATGAGATTCTGGTAGATAAGTGGTATAGTTATTGACACTAAGTCTAGTAGATAATTTGAGAATGAATGCATATAATGTAATTTTATTCTTTTATTCACAATACACATGATACATATATTGTTGTTGGCTCTGATTCTGACCAATGCTAATTAATATACTAAATATACATTTACATGAAGGGGTGGACAGGGGGTACCCTTCTCCCACCTCCCGCCCCCTATCTCCCACCTCCCAATTTTAGAATCTTTTTTTCTCTCCCACCTGTTTTTTGTCTCCCACCTCCCGCTCCTTCCTTCCACCTCCCCCCCCCCCCCCCCCCCCCACACACACACACACACACACCTCCCACCTCCCTCAAAAGCTGTTTACCCCCTCTTACATGTACACTGTGATGCTTATTGTTGTAATTATCAATTATGTCAGTCAACTGTAACTGATTTTATGCCCTTTATGTGTCCTGTAATTTGGGAAATAAAAATATTCTATTCTATCATATTCTATTGTAAATTTGTGTCGTGTAAAATGGCACCTTTTGTCAGAACCTTTTTAACTTACTTCTTCACAGCGAAATGTTTCATGGCAAACCGACACTGGAGATTGTTTAGCTTTTCATAGATTGCTTGTGTGTTCTCATTTGTGTGTCATCGTGAGGTTTTCGCCGAATATAGTTGGCCTTGGTAAAGATATTTTTCATGTTTTGAAAGCAGTACATTCCTTATATAAATATTTTATTTTTGGCGGGAAAATATACGAAATATTGTGTGGTTTATTTGTTGGTGTTTAACGCCACACGCCGCTTTTTGCTATACAACCAGGCAGTTTTTTGTTGTTGTGTAAAGCTACAGTACGAAAATCAAAGACCTTCGCCGGGTATAGGATAATCAGTCGAACACACCTCGCCATTAGCTGGAATCTTAACTATAGATCTCATTAAAAGTGTGAAGCTTTCATGACTAACTGCAGTTTCTATTAAAATGTATCCTGTCTGTTAAAAACTACACGACATAATAAATGTAGAGTGAGTAAAAGAAATTGAAAAAAGAAGAAACTAGACTAGTAGTTTGTTTGTCTTTGATGTCTAACTAAAAATGATCGGATTCGCTAATTATAGGCTTCCTTATAAACACACTATTTGGTGAAAATGCGTTATGTAGTCAATTTATGGTTACGGTAGGATAGATGACAAAGTTACTTATAATATATTGTATTGTATTACATTGTATTGCATTGTATTTAAAATGTGTAATTGTTTGTTCGTATTGCTTGACCCTTATGGGTGTAATTTTGCAATAAAGATTAGTATTTATAATTATTTGAAAATTTGTATGAAATAATAAAGTAGAGCAGATGTTGAAATTTTAACATGGTGACTGGTACATATGTATCTGTATACATGAAAGTACCGGTGGCGGATCCAGAAATGTTCATAAGGGGGCCCACTGACTGCCATAAGAGGAACCCCGCTCCAGTTGTGCTTCAGTGGCCCCTTAATAATCAACCAAATTTTTCCCACAAATGGGGGGCCCCGGCACACTACCCCCCCCCCCCCCCCCCCCCCAAAAAAAAACTCAGCCTCTGAGCACAGAAATATTTGGCAGTGCACCCCTGCAATTTCTTGCAATAAATTATTGAAAAACGTATCACATAGCACCTATAATATATATTATATACTATATTTGTCCACCTATTTTCAGTCATTTATTGCTAGAAAATAGAATAGTGAAAAATATGTGTTTCACCTAAATTTCTAGGCCAATAATAAATGATTGAAAGTGGGGTGGGGGGGGGGGGGGGGGGGGGGGGGGGTTCGTATATAGTTTTAAAATTTTGCTATAGTCCTGAGCTATAGCCAAGGATTTTGTATTTCAATAGATCGATCATCGAAGAAGATAGAAAATGATATATTTTAAGTCGCTAGCCAATGGACATCCAGAAAGTTGTCGATTACCTTGTTATATTTTGAAAGTGTGATATAAAACTAATGTAACCATGCGGTTGACAGGTCAAACCCACTCAGATAGGCATGCACGCATGATATCGGAAAGTAACCGTTTTCGTCCGTTTATGGAAAGGTAACATATGAAGTCACGTGACTTACCTTAACCTTTCGCCATCTTGAATTTATAGCCGCCATTTTTACTCTAGATTTTACCTACAACGGCTTGCTGCCGTGGCAATTTTGTTGAAAAGTGAAGAATCCCAAAAGTTGAGTATGGCAGGAAATATTCGGGAAGAACAAGTGCATTGGGCCAAAATTGCCGAACAGGCTGAGAGATTCGATGATATGGCAGAAGCCATGAAAAAGGTAACAGAGAATTTAGAGAACGATGAAAAGAAGGAATTGTCAGTGGAAGAAAGGAATCTATTATCAGTTGCATATAAGAATGTAGTAGGTGCCCGAAGATCATCTTGGCGAATGGTATCACTGATAGAAAATAAAGCAGAGAGCACTCAACCAAGACATAAATTAGCACAACAATTTCGGGTTAAACTTGAAGATGAACTTAATAAAATCTGTCAGGAGGTTCTTGATCTTTTAGATAAGCAACTTCTTGCAAATGTTACTTCAGATGAAAGCAGAGTGTTTTATTTGAAAATGAAGGGCGATTATTATAGATATATGGCTGAATATTCATCAGAAGAGGCACGGCCAGGAATTGTAGAAAATTCTCAGAAGGCTTATATGGATGCGATGGATTGTGCTAAAGAGAAAATGCCACCAACACATCCTAGCAGATTAGGTCTCGCCTTAAATTTCTCTGTATTCTATTACGAAATTTTGAATACCCCAGAAAGAGCTTGCCATCTAGCGAAAGAGGCATTTGATGCTGCTATTGCTGAATTAGACAATTTGGATCAGGAGTCTTACAAAGACAGTACACTTATAATGCAGCTTTTACGTGACAACCTTACACTATGGACATCCGATGCCCAGCAAGAAACAGAAGGAGACAACTAACGTTTAAAAAAACTAAGGCTACATTTAAGTTTACAATGCTGCTCAACTGATTAAAATTTGGACTTAGTTCGTGAGTGAAAGCAATATGAAGACGGTTCTTTTACCTAGAATAGTGTATCTGTTAAGTTGCATATCCTAAAAACATAATTTATATACTAGCTAATTGTAATGAAGTGCTCTGTAGAGATACTGCCACTTAGTGTGATCAGAGACATTGACATGCAGCAGTTATGCCTTTCTGTTCAAATCCAGTTATTTCATAGTCATCATTACTCTTTCTTTTATTCGTAAACACATATCCACAAAAACTGTTCACGTGTCTTCTGGAAAGTTAAAGAATTTGTATGTTTAATATTTTATGGCGTTTTATTTTGTATTGTTAGGTGATGATTCTTATTTACGCCTTTTATGTAACTTATAGTTATTATTAGCTTTGATCAGTCAGAAACATATTTTCTTGTTATACTGTAATAAATTTGTACCTGCCATTGAATATGAACAGTTAATTTCGTCAGATTAGTTTAATTTAATTATTATTATGATGATAATACAAAATATAGGTCATCTTTTTTTATGATGCCAGTCAGCGAAAAGAAAATATCACTTTATTAGGCCCCAAAAGTATATGCTTGTTTCCTGCCTCCCGACCGACCCTAAGTTGATAGCCAAAAAATATTTCAAGAATTTAGGTTAATAGCCTTATTTGACTACAAATCCAATTTGCGTTAGATTATTCAGTCAAATTTGTAACAAGATCGATGCATATCCAGTGTAGAACTTGTCGAGGCATAGAAAATCATTAACATATTGTCACCCATGCGAAAATTACCGGATTCATAAGTGTAAAGCGGGACTGAACTTCGAGAAAACATGAAACTTTTCTTGATTTTGTTTAAATGCATAAAATAGAATAAAATCCTGACCAACTGACTGACACTATTTTAAAATGGTTGGAGACAGGAAACACATTTTTTTTTTGCCTTTATTTGGTGTGTCAGAAGCACTTTATGAGTAACAAACCCTGCCAAAAAAAGTACTTTCATTTCTTATATGCTTCAGAAATTTACATTTAGTAAGGCGAGGGTTATTTTAATTTGTTGGCTTACAGATTTTTTATATGAAAGATTCGTGTTGGTCTGGAGGGGGGGGGGGATTTTTTTTACAGGACATAAATATGTTTACAGTAACTGTGTACTTCAGCTTTATTTAATAATTACAATATTTGTATTCTCCTTTTTATAATCATTCCTTAACTTATGGTCAAAACATTTATGCTCAGCTGCATATCATCATCATATAGTTGTATAAATTCTTAAAAAAGGGGAGGGGCATGTGCATTTTCAAACAGGACATGAATGCTCATTTCATAATGAAAGAAAAGTAAAAAAAAAACTGTTGCTCTCTATCAATGGTCAGTTTACTACCTACAAAGAAGACCCATCCCTTGTGAAAGACAAGGATGTTTGTTTCATCCTTTATATGCCGTGTAACCCTGCTTTTTATATCCAAATAGACAAAAAATTTCGACTTATGAGACAGGAAGATTCCAAGTTGTTTGTGGTTACTTTTTATACGCCTGTTTACGGGACGTATTGTGGTATACTGTTGTCTGTCCGTCCGTTATCAACATGTCGGACAATAACTCAAAAACGCTTTAACCAATTTGCATAAAACTTTGGTGAATTGTTTATATCTATTGACGTGAGCTCCCTTTCGTTTTTTATAAATTTCAGATTGTACGTTTCTGAGTTATGAGGTTTTATTCATTAAAAAAGGGGGATTTTCAAGTTATGAGGTTTTATTCATTAAAAAAAAGGGGACTTTCAAGTTTTCGGACAATAACTCCAAAATGCTTTCAACAATTTGCAAGAAATATGATGAATTGTTTATATCTGTTGACACAAGCTCCCTTTCCATTTTCATAAATTTTAGATTTTTTTATGTTTCTGAGTAATGGGGTTTTATTGATTAAAAAAAGGGGCAGTTTACAGTTTCCGGACAATAACTCCAAAATGCCTTTAGCAGTTCTCATGAAACTTTGGTGAATTGTTTATATCTATTGATGTAAGCTCCCTTTTGAATTTTAAAAATTTTTAATTTTACGTTTCCGAGTTGCAGTGTTTTATTAAAAAAGGGGGGATTTTCCAGTTTTAGGACAATACCTCAAAAATGCTTTCAGCAGTTCTCATGAAACTTTGGTGAATTGTTAAAATCTATTGACAAAAGCTCCCTTTCGATTTTCATATTGACATTGAGAAGTGATTGAACTTTATTCATTGAAAATGCGACAGCGTATCATGCGCTTAGTGTGCAGCTGTTTATTAAAAATTTAATTTTACATCTTTCCCAAATGGAGGGGTCAATTTCATATATGAGGATGAACCCAAAATGGGTTCAAAATAAAATCTTCCGGAAAAAATGGAAAACAAACCTTTTTGTAAAGGGCTATAAACGTAGGTTTTCATTCTGTAAAATTATTTGTGTAAACATTTCCAGATCTGAGTGAATGTCTTTTTTTTTTGTGTTTAATATTAAAAACACAAACACATCTTTTTTTTAACACAACGGACATTGCCTTACTGTTTACATGTATGCTTAAATATGATACCATAATGTACAAAATGTAAAATTTTGAAGGAATTTGGTTTAGTAGGCGGGAATTAAAAAAAATGTGAATTTTTTCTTTAATCCAAAAATTTAGGTCAGCTGATCTGTAAACCAACAAATAAAAAAAAACTTGCCTTATTTACTGCAAAAATTGTGTCATAAAATTCTAGCATTCTCTGAATTCAAGTGCACACACATGTATATATACTGACTTGAATAGTGCCGGTTCAGAAATGCCTTAATCGGTTTGAAAACTAGGATCGACATTTACACATCTCCTAAGCAGACAAAGACTAGCCCTCCTTTTTGGATGCTTTCCTTTAAACAACAGTATACAGTAGACAGCAGACATTTTTTAATTTACCACCTACAAATTCTCATGGAAGTTATTTGGCTTTGCACCTTCAGTCGTGTTTCTTTGAATGATTTGCATAGTTAAAATGTTGCCATTTTTATTTCAACATTTGCATAATGCTATCAAAATTACAAAACAAAAGACATATCTCTGTGTCAACAGTTTATGTTTTGCTGGTCACCTTCAGGAGATTGCATGCCCTCCCTCCACTGCATATACATGCTTACAAAAAATTAAGGTGATAGTGGAGTAGGAGCTACCACAGACATCTGGAGGCTTTCTTGGCTTTAGGGTTACAATAAGTGCGTAATGTATGTCTATTATAAAATCTTCCACTCAAGAACGAGTGAGTCACTTATGATCCAGAAACATACTTTTGACTTTATCATGAAAACTATGGTCTCATTTCTATTTAAAAAAAACAGCTGATTATTTACTTTTATGCCTGTCTGCATTAGTTTGGGGTAAGTGTCGTTTTTGGCTTTATACTTGGTTCAAGGTTTATGTTTTTTGGGAGAATAGTTTACAATGAAGTTGTGGTCACCTACACAACAACTCGAAACTTAAAATACTTGTTCATTATGAAGTGAACTTTTTGTCTCCCTCAAAGAAGAAAAACAGCGGGACTAATGCATGCCTATTTGCAGTGGTGTCAAAAAGTAGTAGTTTGCAATAAGTAGAAAAATAAGGAGATGTGGTATGACTGCCAATTGGATAACTATCCACCACAGTTCAAATGAAGTGGCAACTGTATGGCCTTCAACAATGAGGGAACAACAAGTGGTAGGTCAATATTTTGTATGTAGTTGTATTACATCTCATTTCCACAGAGATTATTTGGTACTCCAACCTCAGTCTTGATCTACTGACTTTGTATCTTTTGCACAGTTTACATGTTCAAGTTTGGGTTTAGATCAGTTTCAGATAAACCACTGGTGTAAAGTCAATGATATTTGGTATGAAGTTGTATTAGTATCTGCAAGTTTCATTTACATGGAGATGATATAATATGACACCCCACCCCCTTTTTCCCCCTCATCCATGGTTCATTGACTTTGAAACTTACATTGTTTACGAATTGGATCTGAAGGATATAATGTTTTTGACCCGTCCATACTATTCTTGACATCGCAACTCCTGTGAAACCACACAGCAGAATTTCATGAAAATAGTAAGTTAATAAGGACATTCTGTGTATATGTGCATGATTGGCAGCAAATTATGATTCGATTTGTTATCAAGGCGTTATGCCTCTTATAACTAAGAATTTTGTCCTAAATACACTACTGCAACAGTTTGTCATTGCAACTCCTCTTGAAATACACAACAGAATTTTACGAAACTTAGTAGATAGTTGGGACAAATTATGTAGATGTTAATATCGACTGGAAATTATTATCCCTTTTTTTGAGAGAGATTTCAGCCCCTTTGAACTTGGAATTTTGGCGAAAATGTACTACTGCAACAGTTTGTCATGGCAACACTTCTCTGAAACAGCACAACATAATTTCATGCAACTTTATAGATAAGGACATAATATATAGATGTGCATATCCACAAGATTTTTGTAGGAGTCCTGAAGTCTTTGAACTTGCGAAATCTCTTGGGATTGTGTTTCCTCAGTGACAATGTGGGGCAGTATGGTATGTGAGCATGTTCATAAAGGTTCTTTAATTTAGCCCTTCACCTTCAGTCATGGTTCATTGACTTTTGCATAGTTTACATGCTTAAATTTTGCCATTTAGATTTGCATTATATTATCAAAATTACAAAAAAGGCAAAACATGTCTGTGTCATCAGTTTATTAAATTGTACACCTTATCATCGTTTTACCCATATTCACTGAACATGAACGGCCTCGGTAGTCTATTGGTAGCGTTCCCACTTCAAGTGCAAGGTTGTGGGTCTAATTGGCAGTCTGGTCAAACCAAAGACTTAAAAAGTTGTATTCGCAGAATTCTCCGCTAAGCACACAATTAGGAGTAAGACCAAAAACTGGTTTGCTCGGAGTCAGAAATATGTGCCCAGGAGGGTGACATTTTTTCCTGTGGACTTACCTTGTTAACTAGCACATTAAAATTCTGGCTCAGCTTGTCAGTCTAATACAAAGCAGAGACTATATTTATATCACATTCTCATGTTCTTGTCCTGAATATGCATTTTATTTGCCACCAGACGTTTACCATCCATCCATCACAACATAATAATGTGATAGCGTGACATAAATACATTATTAGGTTAAAGTTTTTGGTCAAGGTACCTAGTTGTCACATCAACTTGCCCTCTATTCTAGAACAAAAAGGGGTGTCCATGCCCCCATGAGCCGGTGGTTTGACCTAAACTAAAAAAAACTTCATATCTATTCGTTCCGTGGAAAGCCAATCGTTTTTTTTTTGGTAGAATTATTTCATTATACTGGATTAATTTATTAATATTTTGTATGAAATAAAAAATTTAATCACTGAATGAATTTATTAATATTTTGTATGAGAATAAAAATTTTAATCACTGAATGAATTATATATGACTGA